TGATATGCCGAGGCAGTCCTTTCCCATATCAGACATCTTTATGGGACCATCTGGTAGATTCAGTGTGCCGATCACAGTGGTAGACTCTGCATCATTGGCGCCAAAGGACCAGAACAAAGTTGCCTTCGTTGTCAAGGAGATGTCTGAGAGAGCTGGACATTGAAGAGAAAATCTAGTTTTAGGGTTAAAGGTCACGCTGTCACCTTCTGTAGCGATGCCGCCGTCCAATGGAATGCGATCCCCTATAGTAAGAAAGCACAATGAGAGAGAAAAAAATAGGTTGGAATGATGCCTGCATATGAAACCTTGCAGATATGACAGACAAAACGATAATTTTCCTGAAACTAGAAATCTGAAGTCTCAGCTAAAAGTTCAATCCCTGCACCTACCAATCACTCGGACTTCAACATCTATCTGGATTTCATCTCCCACAGCACATCGATACACTCCAGCATGGTCATCATCAACTGACTGAATCACCAAACCAAAGTCACTGGCGAGATCGAATTCAGGACTAGAATCGACGACACCAGTCGACAGGTTGTAACTGAGGACTTGTCGATCCGGGTTGCCGAACTTACTCCACTCCACCTCACAAGCTGTGTCGCCAGGTGTCCAGCTCAGGCAAGGGAGCATCTGCTGTGAGTCGATTCGGAGGTAGAAAGATCTTTCTGATGCCTTCAGTGCATCACTAGCTGCTTCCACATCATCCACTTCAAAGAAAGAGTGAAATGTAGAGCAACTGTTTCAAATCGGTAAAGAAAATTGAGTTCGGAAAATGTTTCTTGTTTTGTGTTATTTCTTATTATTTTTTTATGTTTGTTGCAAAATTAACCTCGTCAACGAAAAAAAGCACTACGTCTCTTATTCGATTAACATACCTTTGGCATTACCTGATATCTGGGCATCGATGTCACAATTTCTGAGAGTACCATCTGACTGAAACACGTGACACCACAATTTTTGCGTGTCTTGTACGTCATGCAAGGAGTTGACTGTAAGTGAAGCGTCGCTACCGATGCTGTAATCGGCGCCATGTCGGATCTGCAGGGTAGCACCATCAGAGAAACGTGCAACAATGATTTGTGTATCTGTAGTAACGCCCTCACCCGTTGACCAATACACTACGTCTGGTGTCTGTGACGCGCACTCACACGGTAGCGTCTGTCTGCGGCCTCGCTGGAAACTAGCACTGGAAGATGTTTCAATTGTGCCAGCTGGAAACGTGTCTCCTACAAGAGAGTTATACAAGCCACCGATATTTTCGAATTAGTAGTTAATTCATAAAGGCAATTCATCTGTTTCAACAATCAAAATTACTCAGAAGAAACGGGCTTTCATAAAGACAAAGAAACCTTCTTTCACTTTTTTGACAGTTTATATTTTATGGTTTATGATTATATATGTTATGATTGTATAAAGATTTTAAAATTGATTTCTTCATTTTCCCACAAAAAAGTAAGTGACGTTTAAAGTCACACTGTAACCCTTTACAAAACAAAGACAACAAGAACAGCAAAAGAACCGCGGGATTCCATTCGTATAGAATTGTGAACCTAAGTGTTTGCTTAGCACTATTAAGCATAGTGAATTGTTTGAGTTTGCCTTGGGCTATTGAATTGACGTTATCGTACCGATAACTCGAAGCAGAATCTCTTCAACTCTATAATAGTTAAGAAGTGGAAGTACTTGGCATAGGTAACTCCCCTCGTCCCTGTCCTCGACTCCTTCAATGACAAGGCCGTGATCGGACGACATGAAGTATCTGTCGTCGGCAGGTGTGTCTTTAATGATTCCATCTCGCAGGTCTCGGCTGATCAGACGAACCTTTGATGGGTCGTTTATGCCGGACCCTTTGTACCAAATGACGCCGTTTAATTGCTCGCCTTGAAGAAATGCCAGGCAAGAAACTCGATGCCGGATTCTCCTCTGTAAGTAGGCCTCGCTGCCTCTGAGTCCAAATGCATCTTCCGAATTCCAAGCTGGTTGAAACATTAAAATATAAAATGTGCTTAAATCGAAATAACGCATAAATTTGTGCTTACAGAAAAAAGATTATCAAAATATAAAACTTGGCAAGCCAGTAAGGCTTATACAGGACAAATTTGGTCTAATGGGTTCACGTCAGTCATGTGAGTCAATGTTTGGGGCCAAGGCGAGGCTAAAACAAGTCTAATTTACAAATGACAGTTAGCGAGTCAGTCTGTCTGGGACCAGCGGAAACATAATAATTGAAACGCTTTGATGATGCTGAATTATGATTGTTTTACCTGATCCTGATGGACAGATTCTCTCTGCTTTTGCATGCAATGCCAAGACAACCAGTAGTCCACTGACGACACAAAATTGCGTACGGGCTGAGCACTGCATAATACAAATACATACAGAGGTTTTGATGAGGATAAAAAGCACCGACGTGGTCGAGTCCTTCCCCAAGTCCATCATTGTCCAGTCCAGTAAATCACTAGTCAGTTCAGAAGTCAGGCCATAAGGAAAGGGCAAATTTGTTACAAGTCACTTGATTAGCTTGTGACTTGAGTGTTTACGCCTTTATGGATAGGACGTCATTAGAGTTCCAAAAAAAATTCGAATTACTTATAGGCATTCATCTTTGTAACAATCTCACTGACTGACTGACCGACTGACTGCCCGACTGGCTTCCCGACTGACCGACCGACTCACTAACGGACTCACCGGTCTTGCGACGAATCGTGATGGACTCGACTACAACACTGATTAAAACAAATCGAACATTAGTCAATTTGTTGGCATTAGTGTTGCAGTTAGGTACATGCCTGGCATACAATAACAATTGATTAACGAAGCATTTACAACATGAATATAATTATAATGCATGCATTCCAAACCGTAACAGCTCTACTAATTTTTTTATTTAGTTGTGGTTATTTATGTGTATTTATATGTTGTGAAAATTTGATTTTTTTTTTTTTTTTTTATTAATTGTAATAATTTACGTTCTCAAAACTCATGAATTGAAAGACTTATGGGCCAAGGAAAGCAACCATGAATGACGCCATGAAACTTCTCTAGTAAACGCCCCCGAAACTTCCCTTGTAAACACTGTCAATGTTACATCTTGCTTGCCCCTCAATTCACTAATAACTCACCATTCTGGATAGTATCTCTAGAAGAGTAGCCTGATTTCCGACTTAAGGCTTATAGGCTTTTTGAATCGCAATCGTTTATTTTTTTCAAATAAAATGAACGACTGTTTATACATTTTTAAATAACATGGATCAAATTATAACATGGACACATCTGGCCCACAGGCTCACAGTGCTATAGGGACTGTTCGGTCACGTGAAATTGTTATGCGTACGGTTATATTTTGGTTATGACTGGTGAAATGTAAAGTTTGGACTCAATGAAATACGGACTCGTTGGTTGATTGCGCATGCCTTGTAGGAAATAATAATGACACTGATGAGTAACGTGTGAGGGTTAGAGGCAATGTAAGGTAAAAAAGACCACATTTGAGAGGAGTCCACATTCCATATGACACCCGCGTGCTGTGATTTTCCAATTACTGATTAACTTGGCCTATTCATCAACCATGTTTGTACCGGTGTTAAAGTTCACAGTGCACAAAAAGCATACACCCAATGCAATCCGGTTAGACTTGTTCCCCGTTCCTCCCTAAATCAGATATTGAAATTAGGGACCACTAACGGGTAATGGAAACTAAAGAAGAATCAGGAAGAGTCGTTCCTGAAACTTGTTAATTGTCAAAATTCATTGAGTCGTTGTGCCTTAAGTATTCACTCGGACGAGGGCAATGATGTTTGCTGTGTCATGTTCCAATTATTAACGTGACAAATGGATTGACTTACAAAAATATAGGCCACTTGATGTCGTGCAGTTGACACAACAAGGTATGGAACGAAATCACATTGATATCGCGTAGTCGTTGTAAAAACTATAGACCAGTAACAACTAATAGCAACAAACTCTTGCATCAGACACACGGGCGCACACACGAGAATAACAAATCGCCAGGTACCGTTATTTTACCGTCAGTTGCATGTGTTACGCCCCAACTAGGCCATGGGCCAAACTTCAGCTGGGATGTATGTATGTCGCCGTCCCAATGTATGTGTCCAAGATGGGAATGGTCTAACATAAGCTGGGACTAGACTATATAGTGAAGGTGTGTAGTACCAGGACTGGGAAGAATCTCTTCTGAGAAGATTTGTGGCTCTGAAAAGAACCGGTTGGTTGTAAAACTCGACATTCCGAGCAGTATGCTTTGATCGTCTTCAGGAGAAATGATTAGAATCGGAACGTCCAGTTTTACAACCTACCGGTTCTTTTCAAAACCACACGTCTTCTCAAAAAAGCCTACTTCTTTTTAGGCCAAAAAGAAAAAGTCTCCGGTTTCTGGTATGCGCGCGTCGCCGTAGCCATGCGCGTCGGCAAAATGATTTTTTTTTTTCAATGAAAGATGATGTCTCAAAACCGCCAAAATCACTGGTTTGACTGGAATCCTGCTGCTGCACAATTTTAACGTGTTTTTAGATTGGGTTATGGTCGAGAATAAGCTTTATGTGACCTCTCTGGACTGCCATATATTTGCACTAAGTTTAGTCGGGTACCATTTGCAGTCATCAGCCGACATTTGAAGCCAAAAATTCGGGTAAAAAAAAAAAAGCCGCGTCGCCGCACCACTTTTTGGGCAAGCATCATACCAGAAACCTATGTCGTGGCCTCAAGTAATGTTTTTTTTTTCCAGGAACGTTATTGCCTGTGATCCCTTCCCATTACTGACATCTTTGTGTACTTGACACGCCATAAAATCTCAGCAGCAAATCGATCCCTAATGTAAACATTGAGAAAAAATCATAACTGAAACAACAACACGAAACAAGGGATAAGCATAGCATGAGCACTTTCATTTCCTTTCCTATATTAGTGTACTGCGATAGCTAGCCGTGTCATTAAGCATTTACATCTTATGAAATGTTTGATTCACATGTGCAGAGATGGATGTTTTCCTAGTTCTCGTGTTTACTGCATCGTGTATGCAGATGGCAAAAGGTAAGGTGATCAAGGCTCACGCCTAAACTAGCTCTGCATCCATGTACAGGTCCTCCCTTCAATGTTTTTTTGTAAAGAATTATGATTACATTAAATTTTGAAATGGCTTCATAGAGAGAGGGGCGGGAAATGTGGAATTTTGCTGAGTCTAAAATATAACAAGGATTTAAAAACATGTTTGTGTATTGTCATTTTCAAATTGGGATCCGATTTCTACTATAAATGGACCCAATGAATCGGCAAAAAAAAAAAAACATAACAAAATAAGGTCAACTTGTTCCAGATGCTCTAAGGACAATATACAGAAATGTATATTGTTGGTCTAAATGGGGCCAGCCTAAAGTGTATCTGTATGCCTCACAAACTCGCGCCCTGTCATTTGTGAGCCGGGCAGTGTTATCGTATAGTGTTGCCCCAACACGCCGAATGGGTTAAGACAAACCCATTGTGTAACCAGATGCTTGAGATACATTCACTCAATAACCATTCTGAATCAACTGAATAAAAACAGTGGGCTTTGGGACTAGCTTTACTATTAAAGATGCTTACAATAAAACTTTGTTTCACCTGTCACTGTGTTTTTTGTTCATAATAAAGGTGATGCAACAGATGCACCCTTGATTCGGATTATGGAGGGCTCACATCTCACGTCTGTACTTGGCACGAACCTTACCCTGAATTGCAAACTGAGAGATGACATCAACATCACAACTGGCAATGTTAACTTCAACTGGTATTTCGTCGACAAACTGGTATCTTTGTGTACCGAGGCCCGACAACCAGATGGATCCAGTTGCAGCCTGGTCATCGGACCCGTCAGAGCGTCTTCTGAAGGACTGTACAAGTGTACCCTGTTTGACGGAGAGACGTTTTTCGAAAGTACCACAGAGTTGACTGTCGTATGTAAGTATATATCGAGGGCGTAAAGGCCTTTTACGTATGAGTATGTGGTCATCAGTAGCTCGGTTTTCAATAAACAGTCAATTGGATTAATTTGAACCTCGGAACAAACTTCGACCCTGATCACGTTAACACCATCAGGTGCAGATTATAAGCGATTTTGGGGAAAAGGATAAACACAAGTTATACATTTATAACAAATGGCCAGAATCACCAGCTACACTCAAATTATTTCAATGGAGTACACTCAAATTATTTCAATGGAGTACACCATACCACATTTTTTTTTTGTCCTCAGAGCAAAGTACGCGTAGAGCGCTTGCACAAAGCTCCCTTACTGTGGACATGCTGGTATTTGTTTCTCTATTGTACGCATGAGAAGATACCTTGTTCGTTCATTGCCATTGTCACCGTTTCTTTATTCCTGAGGGAAACACGATCAAAACCCAGTATTCGCTCTTTTCACGCTCCGCAATTTGGCATGCACAGCCTCGATCTGGCAACTTTACACGATAAAAATAACCGGTTATCTGAACCCCGACATGGGAATAATTGAACCGGCTATATTGATTGTGTAAAGTTGCCAGGTCGAGGCTTTGCGTGCCCATGGCGGAAGTGTGAAAAGAGCTAATGGACCGGGACTTATTATGTTCACGTTGGCACTTGTTTTATCGACAACTCAGCTCCTTACACTACAATGGATCTGTTGGATCTCTCTTCTGGAGATCTAGTCGACAGCAATTACGGTCTCAGTTGTGTTCCACTGGATGCAAAGCGAACCTTCGAGTGCACCTTGCGAGACATCAAGCCAGACAGATGGAACCTGAGTTGGCTCATCGATGATTCCCGGGAGGTCTTGGGTAAGTTGGAGGTGACTAGTGCCGGCACAGGTGGCTTGATGATCGCAAGAAGCCGGTTCACTGTCCCCGACTCCGAACACAAGGATCTCCCAGACAACCTGACGTGTCAGGCAACTGGTGTCAACGGAGAGTTATTTACGGTCACTGTACAACTCCAGTTCTGCTCTGGTAAGAACATTTTAAGCGTTTCCTGATGATGTTGCCCTCATTTTAGTTTGCCAGTGCCAGAGGGCCAGCCTATATTCAGCTTTGCACCACTCACTCACTTACTGCCGTTGGTGAATTAAAATTAAAATTCCACCTTGGCCAATACACTTTTTTTAAGGATTACCCCGCAATTCCAATGAATTGTTTAAATCCAGCAGATACATGACGAGACTTCCAGTGAATTACAAATCTACTGGATACAATTGTATGCGCACTGGAAACAGCTTTACTAAGCTTGTCATTACTTGTTTATTGATTATTGTTTTTTGTTTTTGAAGAAACTATCCGGTTTAAAGTGCCCAACGCAATAGAAGGTTTTCTGAGTGGAATTCCTGCAATACAACGTACAGTCCATCGTACGTTACTTCAGATGTTAGTCACTTTTGTGGTTGTTTCAAAACCTTTGTATGCTAATGCAAATGTGTACATAACCTATTAATGTCATCTTTAACGCAGAGTCCTCATTGTTATATTGTCTTAGTCTTAATTGTTTATGTTCTTCACCTTAATATTTTTTTATATGATCAAAATTGGTGTTATGCCTTTTGCATGTAGTTCATATAAATCAATATAATCTATATTTATGTAGCAAACTGAAGCAAACTGAAGCTCAGAGATTTTTGTATGGGTTGTTTACGTTTGGGCACCAATGGCAAAATGTGCACCCCCCCCAAAAAAAAAAAAAAAAATCACCACCGCCCTCAACTGTTTGTTAGGGCGGTGGTGCATTTGTTTGTATGACGCCCATTTTAACCTGTAATAAGACTCCAAATATGAACACAACATTTGTTATACTCAACCTGGGGGAAGATAGTAATTACATGTATATTGTGACAGAAGGTATCTCTTTCGATCTCGCCCCGATTTATTTGATTTATTTTCTTCTTAGAAACGCATAAATTCATCTTCTAATAAAATTTAACACACTGAAGAGAAAGAAAAACATTTCATCCAACCGAATAGTCGAAACTACTTTTCATAAGCTTTTCAATTTGGGTTGTACAAACAAAATTTACCCAATTAAATTTATTGTTTCCTTCATGTGGCCTGATAGAGTCCAGCGTTGACTCAACACCCCTAAAAAAGTTGTTGAGAGGAAAATAGGGATTGCTTTCCTGAATACTGATGTAATTTTGCTTGAAGCAAAGTTCAGATGAAAAGAAAAGAGACAATGCGCACAACATAATAGTGATTGCTTATGATTCAGATGTCTGACCCAAGAAGTCTTAGTAATGTGATTCATTTCCTTGTTTATGTGAACTCTTAAAAGTTCCCGGTCTGATCTGACCTGATACCGTTTGGGGTCAAAATGACACTTATTGAGTATTAGAAAGTTATAATGCTATGTATATTTTTTATGCCCCGGACACCTTGAAAAAAATGTCATTTTGACCACAACAGTACATTTTGACCCTTACATGTATCAGGTCAATTATGATTTAGATTCAAGATCAATTTGATTGGGGCTTTTTTACCTTTATTTGTGTCTGCAATATTGAAATTCTAAAGTGAACAAATAATCTGTTTGTTATTCCATAAAAAAGGACCTCTCATCAAAGGTTCAAATGGAGTGCTTATCGCCACAGTAGCTCTGGTCAGTGTTCTAAGCACATTGGTTGTCTTGCCAATCGTGATGTTCGTCAAGTTTAGAAGGAACCGAAGAGAACATAGTGTTCAGATCAAACGATCATCTGTCGAAATGGTAAGGCTTTGTTTATTTGACTGACTTACTACAATTCATAAACAATGGAGATAATATACGTACGAAAGAAATGAAAAATGCAACCGAAAATTCTTGTGTGGAGGGATTTCATTGTAACTGTCACTTGACTATTAAACATGTTTATGATATATATGATTATTCAAAACTGAAAGTTGCAATATTTTGCAAGAAGAATATTACACGAAAGTTAGGCTTTTGAAATGAAAGGCTTTTGGGGTCATGTTTAAATTCAATTCAGAAACAAACTCGAAACACTGAATTAAGGAAAGAAAGCCTAGGCGATTTTTGTGTAGCAACCATTTGCAGTGACAATCCAAAAACATTTGTATTTGGACATTCCAAATACAAGAACCTGACTTGGTTTTAAATATGTCTGTTCATCTTGATATACAGTCAAAAGAGAGGAAAGCCTTGCTATTTTGGGGATGAAATTGAAAACGAAAGTCAAGTACAAATATAAACATGTTTTGCATCAAGCAATAAATTTTGTGCCTTTTGTGTCCCTTGTTTCAAGGATGTTGCTTCTGACCCGGATGCTTTAGGACAACCAGGTCAGTCTGAGGTCGGCAGGTCACCGGGAGTGGATTTTGAAGACAGAATTGCACCACGAGGTCCACACAAATACGAGGACAAACTTGCGACAGAGGATCCACACCAATACGAGGACAAAGTTGGACAACAGGTTGCATACAAATATGAAGACAGCATTTCACCACAAGATCCACACAACTACGAGTACAACATTTCACAGCAGGTCGTACACAAATACGAAGACAGAATTTCTGTTCATCAAGTAGATGAACAGGAGTATGACGACACCACACCACCACAGGAGGCAACACTAATGCTACCCGATAGCGATGATGAGGACAGTCTACCTCCTTGGGCTGAGGGGTGGAAGGTGCCTCGTTGCGACCTCATCGTCGGTGAGCGAGTCCTCGGGAGAGGGAACTTTGGTGAGGTGCGATCAGGTGGTCTGATGAAAGATGGAGAACTGACAAGGGCTGCCATCAAAATACTCAAAGGTAATTAACTCATAACTACTTGTGCGAGGTTAATCTTACAAAGGCCTATTGACAATAGACCATTAAGTCCCGCCCAAAGGTGTTGTAACCAATCACGGTCGTGTATTAATGTCCAACGTGGGTACATGCGCGTGTGATGCGCGCGGCTTGGAACAAAGTGGCATGTCATTGATCGCCACTATCAATGTGACATTGAGTGAGGCGCACTTCTTTTTGTCCAAGTGCGCAGTGCGTGGGGCCTAATGGGTCGGTCTGTTCTAATCACAGTTCGAATATGTAAGGAAACTGTGTGTTATTGAGTTGACAGTTATTTACCTTTTATGATGTTAAACACTGTGTTTCTCAAACAGGCTATGTATCGACGAGTGAGAGAGATGATTTCATCGATGAACTCCGCACGATGACCTCCATCGGCCACCATCCTAATGTCGTCTGTCTGCTTGGCGCATGTCAGCATCGACGTATGTATTCGGTTTATTGTAAACATTTATTGATAATAACTGACTGAATAACAACGAAAACAGACCCGTAAATAAAAGACAAAGTTACATTTGAGATTGAGACAATGTTTATTTAGTTCAGTTTGGTAGTTCGCTTTTTAATCAAGTCGAACAAAGATGAACGAGTTGCTTTCTATGACGTGTTTACATAAACATGTGAAAATAGCGTGTGGCCTTGACTCCGGAAACCATACTGTTTCTTAATCAGAGGTGTTGTACGTCGCGTTGGAGTATCTTCCCCGCGGTGATCTGCGCAGCTACCTGCGGACGGCTCGCTCACAGTCAGACTCAGACGAGGATGCCTTGTCTTCCGATCAGCTGGTCAAGTTTGCTCTGGATGCTGCTAAGGGAATGGAGCACCTTGCTAAAGCGGGGGTAAGGAGCCGTCGCATATTTGCTTTTTTTCAGTTATTGATTATGAAAGGCTCAGTTTTCATATTTACACTCTACTGAAACCCTGTTTGGATTTGACACGAAGTCCGATTTTTATTTGGATTGATACTTAAAAAGTCCCGGTGTAAATTCAAGAATCTACCTCCGGAATCCAGGGGTCAAGTTACACCTGACACGCTCCTGGTTCAAATCAACAATTTTACGTATACTAAAATTAATGTGGTCAAAATGACAATTGGTTCGTCACAATGACATTATTCTGGATCAAATGACCTCGAAGAGTAACACAGAGATATGGCGTGTTTCAATTCTACCCGGCTTTAGGTCAAATCTGACCCGAAATTAAATCAAAATTTGACCTTGGACTTTATGTGCAGCTAAAATGAAGGCTCTGTCCTCAGTGAGCAGTTCCACAATGGATTCAGAGGTATTTTTATTGTGTTCTTTGATCTTAAAAAGGTGATCCACCGAGATTTGGCTGCCAGGAACATCCTACTATCTGAAGGGCTGACAGCTAAGGTTTCAGACTTTGGACTGTCCAGAGGGGAGGATATCTACGTCCAAGCATCAAAGGTAATTGTTTTAAACTAAACTCCAGACCTATATACCAAGTTCGTATTTCAGTTTTAGAGAGGTTCATACGATGCTTAAAGTATTTTACAAAGCTCATATTGCCAGTCAGACACAAGTAAGACAGTTACTAGTTCAAAAACAAGTCAACTAGAAAGCACTCAGAATGCGCAAACCTCCACAAAATCACCTCAGAAATACATGTACACCCATATCCACAGGACTTGCACATTTTATTGCACGTTCCCCACTCATGCATAGTATCAAATGGTTGAGTCCATTGACCTGTTGATTTCAGTGTTGTGTGCGCTTGAGCACATAGGGATGCAGACAAGTAAATCGGTCCGAAATTTCTTCAGTATTAGAGCATTGTGAAGGCCGTGAACTCGATGATTTGTAAAAAATAAAAACAAAAGAAGGTTCGAAGCCATGAGGCGGACTGCCAGCTCGTAGAACTGTGAAATGTGGATGATGATACGGTCCTAAAATGGCTTTATTTTGCAATGGAACGTTGGCGTCCATTTTCAAATTGGCGATGGGCTTCAGGACTGCTTTTAGGGGTGATCATCTTTGGATGGTATTTTCTCCCAGAGTCATTGTTAACCCCCAGAAAATTGAACAGAAAATGAAAGATGATGAAATAAGCTTTACTTTGATGTACGTCTTGACTACCTCAGAGAGTTGTGAGTATTTTTCCCTATTCTGAAGTGGGGGCATTTGTCAGTGGGATCTATGGACATTTAATTACTGGTCTGCAGCTTGTAGTCTAACATGGCGGTGTCCACCGTAAGCAGTGCGGCGTGACCTGGGGGTGTTTCAAAAAAGGGGTCACCAATGGCGGTATACCGTCATCCGATCACAGCAATTTCGAGCGACAAAAGGGGGGGGGATTTGGGGTTGTAAGGAGCTGGAAGTCAATTAAGTCCCGTTTGGGGAGCCAACAGCAACGCAGCCGCAAACAGAGTGCCTGCATTCAGCCCAGATGTAGAACTGAAGAGGGTTTTTTTCTCACAATTGTTTAATCAAATATGGGCTATCCATCCTCACTCATGCCATACACGTGCGTGGTTTGGGGGTATTTTTCAAATCTCGCTTTTTATAGGGTGCAGACCAGTAAATCGGTCCGAAATTGCCTACGCCGGCCCAAATCACGATTTGCATGCCCTCAAATTCTTCAATATTGGATCATTGTGAAGGCCGTGAACTTGATGATTTGTAAAAAAAAAAAAAAAGAAGGTTGGAAGCCGTGCAGAGGAATGCGAGCCGGCATTTCTGTGAAATGTGGATGATGATGATTAGGCCCAATAATGGCTCTATTTTGCAATGGAGCGTAGGTAACGGGTTTCAGGACTGCTTTTAGGGGTGATTATCTTTGGATGGAATTTTCTCTCAAAACTAATGTGTTATCCCCCAGAAAATTGAACAGAAAATGAAAGATGATGAAATAAGCTTTAATTTGATGTACGTCTTGAATACCGCAGAGAGTTGTGAGTATTTTTCCCCGAATTTCTGAAGTGGGGGCATTTATCAGTGGAGTCTATGGACATTTATATACTGGTCTGCAACCATGGACTGCACGCTTGTGACCTAAACACGTGTCCCAATTTCATGGTCTCTTCACATAGCATATACATGTATTCGCACATACAAAATGGTGAGGAATCCTTTAAAGAACTCCTGAAACAAGACTCAGATTTCGATCAATTCCACAATCTTATGGACTCGTACCTGTATCAAGGACCACCCATAAAAATAGGTTCATAAAATGACATCTAGAACTGTTTGAGTTATCTTGTTAACTGACAAACCAACATCGATAGAAGCATTACCTCCTTGGTGGGGATATTAATTTCGTAAGTCACAAGTCCATAAATAGTCCATTGAGTTCAAGTCAAATTTCAAATCACTTGTGGCAAAGTTAAGGCAATTCTTTTTCGGTATTCATAACCCCCACATGTTGGTGACATTTCTTGTAATTTGACTTTGATTGAGACATTGCAAATATGTATGATTTTGTTTCTTGACCTCTTTCTTGGCATGTAAGCTAGGACATTATATGGGACATCCCCATATCATCAGAAGTTGACAAAAAATACAATCTACACAAAGTCCCGAGTCTAATATGACAAGGACTCCGGGCTATTTCTGCCCTGAAACTTCTGGGTCAAAATGACAATACTCGTGGTCATTGTATTGGTCATTTTGACTCGGAAAAGTGTGATTTTGACCCGAAAAACAGATCAGATCAAATATGACCATGATTCCTGGTCAAAAATTTAACCCATGACTTTTGAAAGGTTAGTTTTCATGTCTTTTCATTTGCATTTGAATATTATTATATTATGCATTATTTGTTTGAATTATAGAGACGGGTTCCAGTCCGCTGGTTGGCTATTGAGTCAATCAGGTATAAGAGGTACACGACAAATAGTGATGTGTAAGTACAAATAACTTTGTTTATCGTTTGGAGTATTTTATGCGTGATGCAGGCCTGAATCTACATTTTTTTGGCGAAATATTTCCCGTCACAGAATTAAAGAATTCTTGACTTAATTGTTCTAATCACCAGGTGGTCTTTTGGCATCCTCTTGTGGGAAATAACCACAATAGGTAAGACATATTCTGCTTTTTTTTTGCTCAAATGAAAGAAATCTGTCCTGCCATTATCAAACCGTTTAAGGCAACTTTATTTCCATCAAGATTCTTTGAAGTGGTGTGAAAACTAAACAATTGGTCCTTTCCCCTTTTTCCACTGTATCTAATTTATATTTAACGTACATTGTGAAGGGGGAACCCCCTACCCGACCACCAAGAGCGAGTCACTGGCCAGGAAGCTGAAGGGAGGATACCGTATGCCCAAGCCCAGCAACTGTGACGACAAAAGGTAAGATGTTCACTTAATAGGTGCTCAGTTTTATCAACAGGTAGTTTTCGTCCAAAATATATAATTAATGCTTAAAAAGACCTGCTGAAACGTCCTCTTGTCGGAACAGTAGATAGCGAGTGTCAGCACCTCTGCTGGCTCGTACGGCAAATTTGACCCAGCTACAATGCTCCGTGGGCCATACTTTTTTTTGTGAATGCCGAACATCAGTTTCATGAGCATGGGCGTCGCTAGGGGGGGCAAGGGGGGCATTTGCCCCCCCCCCTCCCTGGAAAAGCAACAAAAAAAAAAAGAAGAAGAAAAAAACAAAGAGGCTCGAAGACAAAGTGGTGTAAATTTAATGAGTGTGGGGGGCAAAATGTCCCTGAACCCCTTTAAAACTGATAAATGGAGAATGTGTTGAGAAATGCAAGCATTTTTTGGCAAAAAAAAAAAATTGCCCCCCTCTAGAAAAAATCCTGGCGACGCCCATGTTGATGAGTAGAAGTATGCATGCATATGGGGTGGGCCTAGGCCTACTTAAATAGTCTGGAAGTCTTTTCGAAAAGGTATAGTCTTGTGGACAAAGAGAGATGCAGCTATATGTAACAATGGACTAGCTGCTATTTAACATCACTGCATGTGTTTCTAGTTTATGCTACAAAATATGTTGTTGTTGAAAAACATTCATTCACGTGATTTCTGCCTAAGCGAGTGCTAATAGGAGGATCTGAAAATCAGAAGAATTCTCACTCATAAGGTTTCCCTGTGACTCATTTAAATTAGTTACGCCCTGATGCGTAAGTGCTGGGAAGAGGATCCGAACAACAGACCAAGTTTCTCTGAACTGGTCTCTATCCTAAGTGGCACGGATGACAGTAGAATTGAACATGTAAGTATAGCATCAATTTCGCATCAAAGTTATCCTAGCCCACCGCATCCTCTTAGATATTTAGCAAGAGGAAAATAAACAAAACATTTTCCTTTTGTTTAGATAGGTACATTGCACTTAATACATGTATCACAATTTTTGTTGGAAGCAATCTTTATATATTCGTGTGGTATGTTAAAGTCCGGCTAGGCCCTAACTACGAGGATATGCACATACGCTTATAAAGGACATTGTTCATTTCATTTACTTTTCAGACCTATTTTTCTTTTGACCGAGTGCGTTACGAGAATTTGAGTGTCATCCGGCCCGAGTTTGATGACAACTGAGCAATCTACATCAGCGTTCGTTCAACTGCGTCAACCGTTTTCCTGTGTCTTAATAGGCCGTATTTTTTACCGATTGCGGCGCCATGTTGGGGGTACAAAAAGAAGAGTAATATGCACAAAATGGAGTGCTGTTATGTACCCAATAACCTTATTACAGCGTGTCATGGAATGTCATTACAATGCATGGTATTTTAAATAAGCATAGGCCTATTATATTCGGTCTTACCACGGGTCATTTTAATGTATTAGTATAGACATATCTATAACGAACTTAACGTTGTTATTCAAGATTTTTAATACATTTTTGGAGAATCACTTTATTGAACTTGGACCTTGCCACTTATTTGTTTCCCTTAACATTTCTCCGTTTTCTCTGTTTTGTTTTTGTTTTTGGTTTTTTCTTTGTGTTGTTTTGTTAGTTTGTTTGTTTGTTTGTTTGTTTGTTTGTTTTTTTTTTTTTTTTTTTTGGGGGGGGGAGACCGGGCATTGATTTATAACCACGTCCAAAAAAATCGTAATCGGTGAGCAACTTTACGATGTCGGCATACCATTTTATGCAGCCACATCTTCAACACACCTGTTTATCGCACTGTCACTGCGACAGCCCATTCTTCGGACAGCTTAACTTTCAACTTATATCCAGCAAATTGGGGAAACGAGATGTCATGGCATTTGTTTTGAAATAAGTGGTACTCAGTTAATATTTCAGTGAGCCATTTGAGGTATCAATGGACAGCTGGTGATTAATTCTTTAAGCTGATTTTATGATTAATTCCTTTTCTCAATGAAGGTCATTAATTTTGGAATACCTGATTGGAAACACCCTGTATAAAAACTCATCTTTAATGTAATTTACTTTTTTACAGAAGGTTGGTCTATCAGTTGGCTTCTTTTTGTTGCACCGGTCGTTATTTTTTTTTTTTTTATTTCGTCTTCGCACTGCTTTTAAGCAGGTTTTCTTTGTTTAATACGCTCCTCGTTTAAAGTTTAAATGTACAATAGTTTCGAAAAGAAAAGTAAATGTAATGTTATACATGTAGTAATATCCATTTAATTAACAGCATAATAATAGTTAGTGCACCTTAATGTAGGAAACAAATTAGAGATGGTAAGCTCTTGGCTAAAAGTTTGTTGAGGTATGCTTATGCGTTATCTAAATTATAAAGAAAATGGCATTGTAGAGTTGTAAACGTAAAACGCTTGTTGAAAATTGCTGGTTGGTTGCTATACATTTTTTTGCTCAGTACAGATCGTGAAATAGAAGTCTTTAAATACCTCTGAAGTGTGCTTGTCTGCGTTTTTAGAGCAATTATGTTACATTTCGTTGTTCTAATTGCATTGATTGCTATTTGTTTTATTTGTGGAGCGGGTACACCTTGCTATTATGACAGTAAAAGTACTACGATCTTGTCGTTATGTCTAGAGCGCTTTATTATAATAAATACAATTGTGATCAATATTAAGAGCTGATCAGCTGTGGGGGGGGGGGGGGGTTCGAATAAAAGGAGAAAATCACAACTGACGCAACTTTAACAAACCCGTTGTGTGAATCCCTTGTCAATTTGAAAGAGGGCGTTTTTTTGTAATAGGACAAGCCTGAAACGGGACTATCGTAGAAGAGGAGTCTGCCTTCTGCATGGTTTTGAAAATATAAGCGAGTTTCAAGAAATAAAATCAAAATTGCCTTTGCCGGCCACATAACGATTTGCATGCCCTCAAATTATCCGGTATTACGGAATGTTTGCATGCCCTCAAATTATTTGGTATTACGGAATTTTGAGGTCCGTGAACTTGACGATTTAAAAAAAAATGATGGAAGCCCTGCAGAGGACTGCGAGCTCGTATTAGGGCAAAATGTGGGTGAAATTAGGCCCTAAAATGGCTCTACTTTGCAATGAAGCGTAGGCATCCGTTTTCAAAATGGCGATGGGCTTCAGGCCTGCTTTTAGGGGTGATCATTTTTTGATGGACTATTTCCCCAAAAGTCGTTAGATAACCCCCCCCCCCCCCGACCAAAAGAAACTGAACACAAAACGAAAGATGATGAGATAGGCTTCAGTTTGATGTGTGTCTCAAACACATTGGAGATGTGATTATTTTAAATAATTTTAGGAAGTGCGTGTAATATCACTGAGGTCTATGGCAGTCTATTTACTGGTCTGGAACCTTATACGCGAGGTGAAGACAACATGGCTGCGCCCATGGAATACAGTGTTAAATCACAAGAGGGCACTGTAACCATTTGACGATGAGGTAAACATTATGTGATGTAATTCATGGAAGAAAGTTCAGTGTCAGCTTTTTCAACATCAACAGTATAGTAATGATAACATTAAACAGAGAAATTGACTGCAGCGGGAATTTTGCTGAGCAACTTCCGAAGGACCGAACCGAAATTGGACTCTATAAGGAATTCAGACTCTTTGGTTGTATTGCGTATGCCGCAAGTGAATAAAATAGTGTCAAGCGGGAAACTGAAAAGCGGAATATGAGAAATGGGAATTTGTTAACAATTTGCAGCCAGCACAACGACAGTGAGACACCCAAGTACAAAGAGAGATTAAGAGATTCAGAATTGCAGTGGGGAACGGATAATTTGAAAGGATCAGCAGATGGTAGTCTCGTGGTAGGTCGGCCCTGGCTAGAGTTAAACTAAATTAAATTATCCAGAGTTGTATCATAATGACCAGCTTTACATTGGAAAAAGTACACAAGGATTTCCCTACTAAGCGAATTTCTCTTCTGAAAGATAATGACCAATTGGTCTGAAGTTTGACAGAAAATACCTTTATGACAGGATTCTCAACTCAGTTTGCCGAGCATATCTTGTAGGTTGCTACACAAAGTCCAAGTGTTAACGGATTAACTGTTTTGTACGTAACCGCCTATTGCTAGAATGATAATCTCAAAAGCGCATAATTATAATATGAGACACGTTAGTTTAATGAAACTCACCATATTTCTTGTGAAAACCAACAGCACTGGTGGTTCGTTGTGGCCGGCTCAGTGTTTCATATATTACTCTAAGTCCATTATCGCACATTTAGTCGGGTAATATAAACCACCAACGAAGAAATCGCTGTAATATTGTTGAGTTATTGCTGCCGTGGTATTGCGTGCTCCAAACACTACGGGGACTTTCCACTTAGTCCCGAAATATGCGTGACTATTATCATAACATATCATTTGCACACGCGTGCTCCAACTTGAACTACAACCCCGTCTATAAATTATACACATTGTTGCCATTATGCATTGACGGGCTAAATAAAGTTCATAGTCCAACGCACTGTGCATGCCAGACAGTGTCAGTCTACAACACAGGCGCGTGTGCCGCACCTGCAGGGAATAATATAGGCCTGAAGTCGAGTCGAAATCATTACTTTGGCATCATGTCAACTCCCACTCTCTCTAGCGATACACACATACCGTCCATACTCTTCAACCAGTTGGATTAAGTTTTAAATGTTTAACTTGTACGATTATATTGTTACGAACATTTATTGCCGGTGTCTGCCTTTATACAAAAACAAACATTTAGTTCTGTTCTTGGGTTGCTTTTGCGCGCGAAAAGATCAACACTGCTAGCTTATCATCATTAGACCACAATGTCGTTCGAAGTCGTATTATTCCACGGCGCAAAATTAACCGAATTTTTTGATTGCCTTTCAGACAATAATAATTGTTTCGTTTATAGACTATACAGCCGGATATGGTGAATAAAAGAGTATATGATATAGATGCCTTTATTACGAATGCAAACTTATGTAAAATGCTTTTATCAGTGGCGTAGCCAGGAAATTTTCAGCTGGGGGGGGGCTGGAACATTTCATGTGGGAGAGTGTCATGTAGAACAATGATAATTTTGTGAGAAACTCAAAATCTCAGTGGGGGGCGACTTGGGGGGGGCCCAACAAGGTTTCATGGGGGAGCTGTCGACCCCCCCTCCTCCCCCCCACCCCCCCCCCCCCCCCCCCCCCCCCTGGCTACGCCACTGGCTTTTATTCCATCCACCCATTGTTGTATTTCCCATAAGGTCTGTACAATCAATACAACTGTTTGACACCTAAAAACATATTTAGCCGTAGTAACCGTTAATGAAAGTATGTCAACATATCAACAGATAATTATATTCACAATATAATCAATTATTCAGTTACAAACGCTTCCTTAAAGGTTATGTACGACATTTGAAAACATTCCCAAACAAAACTGCCAAACTATCATGAAATACTTTTCTTGACTGTAAGTGAGTAATAATTCTCAAGCATCCTGTGAAATGGTTGTCCTACTGCCGAGTATGCTGTCAGTATGACCATCATTTCCTCGCGATGGTTTGGACCAAATAAAAAAAAAAGCTTTGTTTTTGCAAGTACTGCTCCCAACTTATCGAATTAACTTCAGTTTACAATTGTATACATAGTCTGCGATTGGAAATTACTTCCCAGAGAGGCAACATGAGGATCAAACCACAAGGGGATCCAAATCAAATCGTATAGGCCTATTGATGAACATTTTGGGAACGAAAACCTTGTTTTGCGACGGGAAATATGAATATATGTGATCCATGGATGTTTTGAGGTCAACTAAAGTTGGGAAGAGGACAGGCTTCAACTCCTAAAGATGTGAGTTTATTCTGCAAGAAAAAGAAAACATTGGAGAGGGAATTAACACAACAGAATCACTTATGTATATGTACACATTCCATTAATAGATATACAATGATGTCAAGTTCGTCATAAGGACGGGTTTGCTCCTAATAAATCACCAAAGGGAAATATCCAAAATAAGATAAGGCAATGTAAAGTTCACGACTTTAATTAAACAGATTAATATAAACAAATAATAGCATGGATGACTAAAGGATAGCTTGAGTCTATGGTTATTGGGCCATTTCCGTCAAACGATCGATAAGGCCAAAAAAAGTCTCCGGTTTCTGGTATGCGCGCGCGTCGCCGTAGCCATGCGCGTCGACAAAATGAAAAAGTTTTTTTTTTTTCAATGAATGATGATGTCTCAAAACCGCCAAACTCACTGGTTTGACTGGAATCCTGCGGCTGCACAATTTTAACGTGTTTTTAGATGGGGTTATGATCGAGAATAAGCTTTATGTGGCCTCTCTGGTCTCCCATAATATTTGCACTAAGTTTAGTCGGGCACCATTTGCAGTCATCAGCCGACATTTGAAGCAAAAAAAACGTTAAAAAAAAGTCGCGTCGCCGCAACACTTTTTGGGCAAGCTCTATACCAGAAACCGGAGACTTTTTTTGGCCTAACGACTGCCCTCTTGAAATTAATCCTAAATCCAATAATATATTCGCCTCGGGAACTAGTTTGTCAACTTCCAATACCGAGGGGAGCTAATATCGACTGTCCACCCGAAATTAACCATGTTTTATTTGTTTTACTTTACCTCATACATATTCAGTTGCCGAATTTTGTTTTATTATTATGCACCTAAAACAAAATTTGGGGAAACTTGTACAGCTCACCAAAAGATTCAACTTCAATTACTAGTTCGGTTCGTTTGCAATATAATACAGTTACTACAGTTGTAAATACAGTTGTTTGCAACGTGTACAACTTTCTTTTGTACAGGAGACATCTTTACACGGTCTATACATTTTCTCCAGTACGGCATCATTGAGCTCTGTAAATTAACATTTACGCGAACCGTGCAACCTTAACCATGCATCTCTCCTGTGCGATGTTCGCGCGTGCGTACTGCACCCGTGCGACAGTTCCTCGATTGCTCTGTAAAGCGCATGCGTAGTAGACTGTCGCACGGGTAACCCATGCGACAGTCTACTACGGATGCGTATTTACAATGTGCGTGAATCCTCGCGCGTGCGTTTGGTAAACAGCAAGAATAACATCTGGCACGTGATGGTGAATTGACCAGTGAACGTTCGGCTCTCGATCATGAATATGTATGAGGTATAGTAAAAACAAAATAACCCATCGCTCTGTTATGTTCTCCTGAACACTTAAATGACAATCCAATATACAACATGTCCTATATTTAACTAAGAGAATATTTACATAGATATAGGAAAAAGAATGATTGTTCCTTTTCTCAACTCCCGAGGGACATTCATGTCACGTAAAATACAACAAAATTATTGAAAATGTCAAGAAACATACGCTAAATGAAGCAGTTGGTTGATGGGTAGGATTAATGGAATTACTTCTACAAATATATGAAATGAATGTATCATATTACTTGCAAGAATGAAGAAAATTTTGGAGAGGGAATTAACACAACAGCTCTCCTCTCCGGATATGCACAGAATCACTTGAATGTATTCCCGCCACGCCACCAACAGCGAGTGTGGATTGGCCGTTGTTGAATTTAAATAAGAATGAGTTTGGGTGCTAATGAATAATAAAAAAAACAGGCTGGTAAATAAACAAGTAAACCAAACTTTAGAGGAAGGGGGTACTTTTTTTCATAACAGTGATATGTGCATTTTCCTTTTATTATTGCGATATCTTATTGAGCTGAAATTTCAACAGTTTAATAATTTTTAAATAGCCTGGTCGGCTTTATTGTCCTTATGTGCTTTTCACATAGTGTCCATATCCTTTATGAACGCAGAGCTAAACTTATTTAAAGAAACTAAACTTGCAACACATAAGGTTTCCTGTTTGTTTCCACAGGCATAAACATCTTCTGATATCACTGTATTTCATTTTCAGAACCACAATGTGTACATGGATGAAATATAAACAATAAACCAATATGATGCCGCATTGACGCTCGGTTAAAATTATCACTTGTCCCAAAAATATATATAATATGAACAGTAATATATTTGTATTAGTTGTTCAAAATGAAAGTAAAACTGTGCTCATAGGGGAATTTTACTTGCAACACAGGCTGTTCTGTTTATGTTTAGAAATCCACACTATCAGTATTTCATTTTCAAAGCCACAACTTTCCAAGGCCTTTTGTGCGACATGGCGGTTGTATTCCTCTTAACGATATTCGCACTGATTTGTCAGCATGTTTCAAAAGGTAAGCCCGTTATTTTTCAATTAAACAATATCAAAGAAAAGACAGGTGAGAATAATCACTGGTGAGTTAGGAATTGAACGAAATTTAGATAATTTCGGCTGGAAGACTCCACTGATGTCTGCCGTGTCCGCACAAATCCTAAGACTCAGGTGATCATAGTACGGCTATTGTTGACGCGTCACTCCAGTTGATGCGTCAGTCCGGTGACCGCCTTTTCGACACACATGGCGCACAGGGCAAGCCGATGATTTGTCCCTTCCAATCGGTGGTTTACAATTTCATGGAGATCTAACGATTATAATTATAACATTAATGGGTTTTTGTAAAGCGCACGTATCCACTATTATTGGTGCTCAGGACGCTACATTATTATAATTACCCTGATCATTGGGCCAGTGAAACATTCCAAATACCATCTCAGTTCACTGTGAGTTTACAGCTCGATGCTGCCATTTCGGCGCAAAACAAACCCCCCAAAAATCAGTTTCTGGCCTTTCAACTTTAATTCTCTAAAGCTGGAAAGGCAGAACTCAAGATCCAGGGAGGAAACCTACGATATGCCACCGTTGGATCCAGTATCACCTTCACGTGCGTCCTGTCTGGTGATTATTGGAACGACCCTGCAGTCAGATGGTTTTACAACTACCAAGCGGTGACTACCTGTGACGATCAAAACTTGATCGACCTCATCATCGGTAATGATACCTACAAGGCTTGCAGTTTGACCATCAATCCCGTTACGGAGGCATCAGGAGGTCCCTACTTGTGTAAGGCGTATTCCGTCGGTTTAAGGGATAACCAAACCGTGCAGCTCGTTATAACAGGTGAGTCGGCGTATTACAGAACGCTATCCAGTGATTTCTTTACCCTCTAACTATTCTTACTTCCTCACCCCTCCCCCTCTGCCATAAAAAAAAATAAAATAAAAATAACAAAATATTGATGTTAACAAAAGGAGGAAAACATGAAAACGGCCTTCAAAGTTGTTGAAGTTTATTTAATATGACCTCTTTTCAGTAGACCGACAAGATGCTACGCTGCATCTGCTCGATCCCTCCACGGGAGCTGTGCTGGACGATTCCGAAAGTGGCTCCGTCTGTGTCCAGTCTGGTACTACGTGGCTATTCAAGTGCAGGATTCAAGACGCCAGGCCTGGGGTCTGGAACTTCACGTGGATGCTTGGCAATCAGACGATCGCTACTAAAAGCGAGACACGGACCGGAGCTGGGCTGGTCAACGTGAGCAGCTGGCACATGGTGACAAACCCTGGCAACGAGACTCGAGAGCGTAACCTAACGTGCCTTGCAACGAGCAGTGATCAGTCACTGAGCACCAAAGTGCTGATAACATTTTGTGCGGGTAGGTGTTGTATATGTTTGCTTTCTTCACTTTGAAACAAATTTATGAGTTAAAAATGGGTTTCTTGATTTTTTTTTTTTTGCCTGATTTATCTCAACGTTTCACGAAGTTTAGGTGTTTTTCTGTGGTCTGTGGCACATTATGTGCGTTCCGATGGTTGCGCGCGCTGTACTTGTCTGTGAATTGTGTGTATTTGGATTCAGTTGGTACTTGGTAGCTTCACACATCACGTTCACGTGTATGAGTTCAAAATGGGTTTCTTGGGTTTTTTAGCCTGATTTATCTAAACGTTTCACGAAGTTCAGGTGTTTTTCTTTGGTCATTTAAAATTTAAATATTCAGTAGCAAAATGTGCACCTTTTGCAACGCATTTACAGGTCAATTGTCTTAAAATATAACAAGCATCAGCATTGCCTATCACCGGGAAAGATAATAAGTAAAATGATGAGAGAGAGGATATCTCTTTCGATATTGCCTCTGCCTCGGGTTTATTATTTCCTTTCTGAAAATTGCCTGACTCATCCACTGTTTTATGACACACTAAAGAGAAAGCAAAACATTTGATCCAACCGGACTAGTGGAAACTACTTATTCATCATCTTTACTGTTAGTGTTGCAAGGACAGAATTTAATCCACTAAATTTACCGTTTCTCTCATAATATACATGTATGTTCTGGAAGGGTCCATCGTCACATAATAACCCCGATTTGAAATTTTGAAATGTTGAGATATGGGATTATCTCTTTATCAGAAAGACGATGTTTTATGACCCAGTTATGATAAACTGAAATAAAAGTTACGTTATCTAATATCTTATATTATATCTTATATTATGTTATCTTATATTTACGGAATGCTTATGATTCTAATGTTTGAACCAGTCAAACAGTCATGTGATTAATTCTACTTTGTCAAGTGTAATACCAACTGTTAAAGGTACCGGGGTCAGAGATGACCCAAATCCCGGTCATGACCTGATACTTTTTTGAGTTAGAATGACACTTTTTGAATGATAATGACACTTCTCTTTATCATTCTGATGCCCCGGAAACCTTGACAAAGGTGTCATTTTGATGACAATGTAATTTATGACCCTGAAACGTATCAAAGCCAGTTTTATCCGGAATCCGAATTATATGGGATCCGGAACATTTTTATTATGTCGTCAAAGTGAAACATTGATTGTCCTTAAAATGTTTAATCTTTATGTAAACAAATAACCTGCTTGTTATAAGATAAAAAAGAAGCTGTCGTTACAGGTTCAGACGGACTGATCATCGCAATAGTAACTGTGGTCAGTGTTCTTAGCGCATTGGTTGTCTTGGCAATTGTGATGCTCGTCAAGTTTAGAAGGAACTGCAGGCCACATCGTAATGTTCAGATCAAACGTGATGTACGATCGCCTGTCGAAATGGTGAGCCTTTGTTTATTTGAATGATTTATTACAATAGATAAAAAAATGAGATATAAACGAAGGAAAGACAATAAAAAAGTACCGAAAATCCATCTGTGATGGAATTTAATCATAAAAGTCTTGCGAAAAATATTAAACAGGTTTATTATTTATTTAGATTGGAAAATGAAAGTTGCTTTGAAAAAAATCAGTAAGGTAAGGCGGGTTAGTCAAACTATTCCTTTGGTAGTCCAGCTGGCGAGTTAAAAATTATTGGGAGACGGTACAGATGAAGAGACAGGGAGAAATATATCATTAAACTTCATTAAGCAAACCTTTATCGATTTGTGGCTCATTTTATTAACTGTGTTTGGTTAAATTATTCGATCTGTTCAATAAAAAAGACTGACAATATCGCCTAAGTATACCCATTTTACATGTATGCATTTGTTGCTTTTAAGACACTCTATTACGCGGACTAGTGAAAATGCCCGCAGGCCAGTGAAGAATCTGTTTCAGCAGCCCGGCTGGCTAGTGAAAAGGTTAAGGTTGTACCCTTCTTTACATTCAGTCAAAACGTGGAAAGCCTGATTAGTTTGGAAATGAAATGGATGGTTATGGTTAAAGTCGAGGGTTAAACATAACGTATGAATGTACAGTAATAAGCGTTTTGCGTTGCACACAATATATTGTGTGTTTTTGTGTCTTTTTTTCAGGATGAAGCTTTGGACCTTGATGTTTCAGGACAACCAGGTCAGTCTGAGGTCACCAAGTCACCGGAAGTGAAATACGAGGACAGAATTGCACCACAGGTCGCGAACCAATACGAAGAAAGGATTTCATCACAAGATCCGCACAACTACGAGTACAAACTTTCACGTCAAGTCGCACACAAATATGAAGACACAACAATTTCACCGCAATTGGATGAACACGAGTGTGACGACACCACATCATCACAGGAGGCAACACCAATGCTACCCGATAATGATGATGAGGAGGACAATCTACCCCCTTGGGCTGATGGGTGGAAGGTGCCTCGCTGCGACCTCATCGTCGACGAGCGAGTCCTCGGGAGAGGGAACTTTGGTGAGGTTCGATCAGGGGGTGTGATAAAAGATGGAGAACTGAGAAGGGCTGCCATCAAGATGCTCAAAGGTAAACTACTTACCACGTGAGGTTAATATGTACATTGCAAAGGCTTAATGGCAATAACCGAACCTTTAGGCCCCGCCCAATGGTGTTTTTACCAATCATAACCGTGTATTAATGTCCAACATGAGCACATGCGTGAAAGATGCGCATGGCTTGAAGTAGTGGCATGTCGTTGATCTCCATTATGGAATGCTGCTCTTGTTTGTTTGTTTGTTTAGTTTGTTTTCTTGTTTCTCCAACAGGCCATGCATCGCCGAGTGAGAGAGATGATTTCATGGATGAACTCTACACGATGACCTCTATCGGCCACCATGTTAATGTTGTCTCGCTTCTAGGTGCATGTCGGTATCAAGGTATGGATGTCATATTATTATCATTAAATCTATTATGTACATGGAATATACAATACCTTTGGAATTGACAGCTGATAGTATGTAGTTCGCCCTGTGATCAAGTCGAACAAAGCTGCAAGATGTCTTGTAATTTTGGCGTTTTCCTAAAAATGTTTATGAATAAGATCTCGGCCAAATTTCAGGAACCTGCTAAATAAGACGATCAAATTTCACATTTCTGTGCTCAATGTGAATCTGCTGGGATCACACTACAAGGCAGTCTTTTAGGACCGGTAAGCCTTTTACACTGCAAATGGAGTCATCAACACGTTCGCCTCTCAAATACCAACCATATCCGTTTCGTAAGTATGACGTAATTTGAACTTGACTTTGTGTGCTGCTCACTGTGTAGCATTGGAAGCAATGAGAGTTTAGCCAATGAGCGCTAGTATGATGCAGTCACTTATGAACCGGTTTATGTTGCTAACCAAATCTGACGCACTTTGCACGCATGCACGTTGGTTATGAACATCAGCACTGTGATTGGTCAAGCAATATAGGTCGCGGATTGATGAATCGATCTATTGCCGTCTCGAGCAGCTTCACACAAAATGGTCAACAGGTTGTAATTTTGTAAACGGTACAGACATTGACTTTGGAACAAAGACTGCATTGGGAACTTTTCATTTACTCAGAGGTGTTGTACGTCGCGTTAGAGTATCTTCATCGCGGTGATCTGCGCAGCTACCTGCGGACGGCTCGCTCACAGTCAGACTCAGACGAGGATGCCTTGTCTTCCGATCAGCTGGTCAAGTTTGCTCTGGATGTTGCCAAGGGAATGGAGCACATTGCTAAAGCGGGGGTAAGGAGCCGTGGCAAATTTGCAATTTGTTTTTCAGTTGTTGACTGTGAAGGCTCAGTTTTCATATTTACACTTTAAGAGACCATGTGTAGATGTCACTCGAAATCCAAGTTGTATTTGGATTGATACTGTTCATGGCTGAAAAATGTTTTTTTTTTCCGGGCCAAAATGACACTTATTTTTATCCTGTTCCGGGTCGAAATGCTAACCTACACTCTTAACAATACAGGGTTTATTCAAGAATCTATCTCTGGAATCCGGGGTCAGATTTCACCCGACACTCTCCTGGTTCAAAATGACAATTCTACGTGTACAAAATGTGGTCCAAACGACAACTGTGAAGTCAAAATGACATTGCTCTGGGTCAAATGACCCGGAAGAGTAACACGGAGAAATGGCATGTCGACCCGGGAAAGTGTCAGTTCAATTCGACTCAGCTCCGGGTCAATTCTGACCATAAATTAGATAAAAAGTTGACCTTGGACTTAAGTTCGTGCAGCTAAAATGAGTGAGCAGCTCCACAATGAATTTAGAGATAGTTTGTATTGTGTTCTCTGATCTTAAAAAGGTGATCCACCGAGATTTGGCTGCCAGGAACATCCTACTATCTGAAGGTCTGATTGCTAAGGTTTCAGACTTTGGACTGTCCAGAGGGGAGGATATTTATGTCCAAACATCAAAGGTATTTGCATTTGCAATGAATGGTTTATTTCTTTTTAGGTTGATATAAACTTAACATTTAATTATTAAGCTTTATTGTATAAATTCGATGTTAAGTCGTCACTGGTCCATTACAAGACCTTGTTGCCAGTCAGTTGCACGTGAGACGGTGTGTCTAGTGAATTATAAGTGTATCAACTTAATCAGTTACAAGTTACTCAAAAGTCCTTCAAATCATCTGTGAAATGTGTCCACATAATAAAGCACCGTAAAATACTGGTGACATTTCTTGTCTTGTTAGAGCCTTTTTACGAACATGTCCAAATCAGAAATTGACAAAAAGAACAATCTACAAAGTCCTTAGTCAAATTAGACCAGAAATCCGGGTTACATTTGACATGAGATTTTTCTGGGTGAAGACAAAACTTCATTGACCATTATGACAAGGAATTTGTCACTTTGATTTTAATAGACAAGTATAGTTCAAATATGACCGGGACTGTATGTCAAATCAGACCAGGGACTATACGAATGTAGTTTTCATGTCTTTTCATTGCATTTTAGAGTACAGTGTTCATGTTTGTTTCTTTGGATTTGATTATAGAGACGAGTTCCAGTCCGTTGGTTGGCTATTGAGTCAATCAGGTATAAGAGGTACACGACAAAGAGTGATGTGTAAGTACAAATAACCTTGTATATCGTATTGAATGTCTTATGGGTGATGCCAGGACTTAACCTAGATCATTAAATGTATTTTTGAAATATTCATCCCTGATAATATTTAGGAATTCTTGACTTATTTTTTGTCTTATCATCAGGTGGTCGTTTGGTATTCTCATGTGGGAAATAGCCACAATAGGTAAGAAATATTAATTGTCCTTTTTAGGTCAAATAAAATAAATCAGTACAGATATTATCAAATCGTTTAAGGCAATTTTATTTCCAACAAGAACTTGGTTGGAAGCGGTGTGAAAAATTGTCCTTTCACCTTTTCCCGCCACTTCTAATGTTCATCTATTGTATATTTCGAAGGGGGAACCCCCTACCCGACCACCAAGAGCGAGTCACTGGCCAGGAAGCTGAAGGGAGGATACCGTATGCCCAAGCCCAGCAACTGTGACGATAAAAGGTAAGATGTAAACCTAAAAGTTGCACAGTTTTAACAGCAGGTAGTTTATAAGCGGCCAACATATCTGATGCTCGAAAGTACCTGCTTAAATTCCTCGGCGAGTTTCAGCGCTCCTGCGTGTCAACATTCAAGCTCTTGCTCGTGCGGCAAAATGGACAAAGGTACAATATCCTAATGGCCAAACCCGTTTGTCCATGCCGAGCCCCTTTGATGAAAAGAAGTAGCCTAAATGTAAGGTGGGCCTAGGCCTACCTAAATAGTTTTGGAGTCTTGTCAAACTGTAGTTAAAATGTATTTTATGCCTTCCTTACAATGGTCAGAGCTCAAACACTGAGGACGTGTTTATGCACAAGGATTAAACTTTTACGTTTTATTCTCGTGTTTCGTTATTGCCCAGAAAACATCCATTTACTTGATTTCTGCCTATACGTGAGTGCTTATATGAGGATTCGAACAACATACCAATCTTACGGTTTCCTTGTTACTCTATTAAGTTACGACCTGATGCGCAAGTGCTGGCAAGAGGATCCGAACAACAGACCAAGTTTCTCCGAACTGGTCTCTACCCTAAGTGACACGGATGACAGTAAAATTAAACATGTAAGTATAAAAACATTTCGCATAACAGTTATCCTGGCACACTGCATCCTTTTAGTTATTTAAAGGGTTCATAAAGTTGCTCATTGAAATTATTAATTTGCTCATTGAAATTATTTGTGAGAAAAGTTTGCTCATTGCCTTAACTTGCATGTAGCATGTAGCAAAAGCACCAAAAATGCAACAAACTACCTTTAAAAATGGCAATACGAAAAATGTAAAAAAAAAAAAGGTTAAATGGGACACAAACCTACATTTCGAATCATTCCATTAACAAAATACATTGAATGGACCCTTTAACTACAGGAAAATAAACAAACATATAGCTGAACACTTCGCTTTATATCATTTTTTTTTCTTTGAAGCAATTTTGATTTAAAATCCGATTTAAATTATAAATTTGCAGATTTATACATTTTACCAATTAGAGGTCCTATCCACAGGGTATGTACACACTCTGATAAAGGACATTGTTATGTTCATTTACTTTCAGACGTATTTTTTGCCTGACCGATTGCATTACCAGAATTTGAGTGCGATCCGGCCCGAGTTTGATGACAACTGAGCAATCGACACCAGTGTTCAACTGCGTCAAGCCGTTTTTGCGTGGCCCAATAGACCGTAATTTTGAACGAAATGTGCCGGCGCCCATTGGGGGTACAAACACACGAGTAATGTTACTATACTTATTATCTACCCGATAACCGTATTACAACGTACGCAAGATAGTCAGTACAATACACGTATCGTAAATAAGCATATTATACCCGGTCTTGCCAGGGGCCATTTTAATGTGTTATTTAGACGGATCTAAGCGCAAGTGTAACGAACTTAAGTTTATGACTTGAAAATGTATTTATTGTTAAGAATGCTTTATATTGGCAAGGTCCAAACCTTGCACTAACATTACTGATAATTTCTCGTGTTTTTTGTTTTTTGTTTGTTTTGGGGAGTGCGTTTTTAACCATGTACACAAAAAGGTAACCAGTAGCAACATTATGACGTAGGCCTACCATTTTATGCGGCAATACCTTCAACATACCTCCCGTTTGTCGCACTGTCACAGCGACAACGCATTCTTCGGCCAGCTTAACTCACCAATTATATTCAGCAAATTTGGAAAACGAGGTTTCCTGGCATTCGTCTTCAAAATCTGTGGTGCTCAGTCGATATTTCAGAGAGGCAAGTGAGGTATTATGGAAAGCTAATGATTCATTCTTTAAAATGGAACCACTTTGAAAAACACATTAACTTTTTGATTGCCTTTGTTGATTTATATCCGGTATATAAATAGACACAGCGTTATTATTTTTGCAGAAGTTGGCTTCTTTTTGGTGCATTCGTTGGTTATTTGATTTTGATTTCGTCTTCATATTGCAGTTAAGCAGGTTTTCTTTGTCATTTCATGTATTTTTATGTTAATATTAATACACTCCTCGTGCGGATTTCAAATTTTAATAGTTCCCATCATAGAAATTAAATGTAATTTTATAGTAATATCCGTGATTAACAATATTTTGATATTTAGCTTACCTAAATATAACAAATTCAATTAAACACGAATAGCAGCCACAGCTGAATTTCACGTGGTTTACATTTAAAAAAGGATATTTTAAAAAAGCAATACCGCGTTTGTATATATTAAAAATATGGTATTAAAAACTAATATTAGAAACAAGTTTTATACATTGTGCATACAAATCTGACTCGGAAAGATTGTATATTTAAATAAATTCATAACATTGTACAGAATGTGTTGCAGCCTATTTATCTTACTGTAAAAAGGTAGCATAAAATATACGTTAACACATTGTATTTATTTTTTTAGATTGCAGGTAAAAATCATTGATAGTTTCATTTAGGATTAGAATTATACAAAGGTGCCAGATTGGGAATGAGTTTTAAAATTGTACAACATGTGTGGCAGTAACTTAAATGAAAAGTAGTTTTAAAATTATGTTAAAATTTATAATATAATACATTATAATATAATACATTAAAATATAATACATTACAAAGGTTGCAGGTACATTTCATTTCATTTAGGATTAGAATTATATAGATGGGGAATGGCACTATTCTGCATTCTTTTTGTTTTATACTTAGGTTCTGGAAGTTTATTCGAATTCTGTACTGTTCGTTTCATTTTTGGAGGAGAAGGGATGACAACTTTAAACTGTTTAAATTGTTTCAATGTTCTTTCGATGAATGATGTGCATAGGCATTCTCTTCTTTGTTTCAATGAGGAAATCCCGAGTTACGTGGCTTCTCAGATTAACTGTTTTAACTACCGCGTCCGGTGATTATTTGTAGAGCTCTTTTGTAATGCTTTCGACATGGTAGAACTGGGCAATAGTTATTAGAAATGTTAAGCTCTTGGTAAGAATTCCATTGACGTATGCTTATATGTAACCCAAATCATATAGTAGAGATTTAAACCTTAATAACACTGAGACTTGTAACGCTGCTTGAGACTCGTTATTTACATTGTTGAAGCAGTGGAAGACTTTGGTGAGCGAACAAAACCGGTCCTTTTCAATTGTTTAAGTCGTGCATAAGCTAAAGTGCGCATGCTCAATATGACGCAATCAATGGGAAAATGATCGGTGTGTTTGCTGCCACCAACGTCTCAAAAGTCTCCCATTGTGGCAATGTTGTCGTTTTAATTGCAGTGATTTATATTTGTAAGCGGGTACGCCTTGCAATTTTGACCTGTAAAGGTTCTCATGTCAACAAGAAAGATCTTGTCGTTTTGCCTAGTGCTCTTTGATAGTGATATATACCATTGTGATAAATATAAGGTTTTCCCGCTCAGTTGAAAATGATCGGCAGCCAAATTGATGACAAATCACCCATTTTCGCACGAATTTGAATGCACATTTAGATAAACATTTAACAAAAACAATTTAGTTAAAACAATTAACTAAATGCATCGTTCAATTTAAATGTGACAGCATGCAGTTGCAGTTTTCTACTATTCAATTTCAAAGATGCATTCAAATTAAAGTCGTTTCGGGTCATTCAAATTTGTGGGAGTTCACGTTGCGTCAGTTCAAGGGGGTTCAAATCGGTTCATGTTGTTCGTCGTTTTACTTTGTTTCTTCGTTCCAATTTAAACTAACTGTTTCTTACAAGATTTGGCTACAAAGCAGCAGCAGCCATAAAGTGCCCATACTGATCAGTTTTTTTGCGTATAAAGAATGAACATGTTACTGAAATGACGCATGTTTAAGATTAAGTGAATCGAGGAAAAGGTTAGAGATATAAGAAAACCCAGATCGCAATTTAAATCTAGACGATAAAGAGCAAAAGGGAATAATACCAAACGTATAACAAACAAATATGTGAACAAGATAAAGAGAGGGCAATCGATCTCCTAGTTTAATGTTGCCTATAGGTTTATTGTTCATATGTCGACTTTCGTGTGTGATTTTAAATTTTCTCGTATCACTAGTTTGCATTTCTTTCAAAGACAGATAACAGACACTTTGAACACAAATAGACCAGAATCAAACAATAACAAGAGAACATGTGGAAAGTGAGAAAATATATAGAATACGCGGAGATAAAAACGAAAATGCGACACTAATGCAACTAACCCTAAAACAAACAGACTGCTTAATTGAATGATCACTTAAAGATAATGACGTGAATGTAGGATGTGTTAAACGTGAACAGGTCACAACTGAGCAATCAACACCAGTGTACTATTGTTCTTTCAACTGTGTCAAGCCATTTTCCTGTGCCCAGTATACCGTAATTTTAAACGATTGTGGGGCCATATGGTGGGTAAGAACAGAAAAGTAATATGCAAAATATAGTGTTATTGTGTACCCGATAACCGGAGTACAACATTGCGCAAGATAGTCGGTACAATGCTTGGTATTTTTAATGAGTACATTTAACCCGGTCTTACCATGGACCATTTTAATACATTATTACAGTCGGATCTACATGCACGTGTAACGAGCTTTAGTTTACAATTTGAGAATGCTGTATTGAACTTGGACTTTGTCACTTATATATTTTGTCTCATCAATTCTCCGTTTGCTTGTTTTTGGTTAATAAATAACCCCGTCGTAAAAATATAATCGGTGAGCAACATTATGGCTTACCATTTTATGCACCAACAGCTCCAACCAAGGGCGGATCCATGGGGGAGGGGTGGGGGTGGGGGGGGGCAAAGGGGGCCATGGCCCTTCCCCCCCCCCTCATAAAACAAGCATCATTGTTTTTGTATTTTTTTTTAATGACTTGGCAAAAAGGCAGGCAATGAGTACACCACCATCTTTTCCGCAAAAACATTGGTTAAAGTGGTCAGAAATTGCCTCAGACCGCACCACAGAGCATCTAGAATCGATTTTTTTTTCGGGGCCCTTAAGCGGGTTCGGAGCCCCACGCCGTAATTGTTTGGGACACACTTTTGGGAGATTACATTTTTTTTGCCCCCCCCCAAAAAAAAAAAAAAAAAATCTGGATCCGCCCTTGGCTCCAACATTTCTCCCGTTTGTCACATTGTCACAGCGTCAACGTATTCCTCGCAATGCGGATAACTCACCACTTCTATTCAGCCAACCTGAAAAACGAGGTTTTCTGGCCTTTGTTTTGAGATCAGTGGTGCTCAGTCCGAGAGGCAAGTGATGTATCAATGGATAACTTATGATTCATTCTTTTAAGAGGAGGCCACTTGGACAGTGCTGTTTTTCATAATGTTCTCATACAAACCCATTGACGTTGATTTGATACACCATGTATATAGACAGATCGTGTACTTATTTTTTTTTTTTTTTTTTGCAGAAGGTCGGTTTGTCAGTTGGCATCTGTTTGGTGCATCCGTCGATTTCGTCTTCGTATTGCTTTTATTAGGCAGGTTTTCTGTGTCATTTCCAGTATTTTTCTGTTAGTTTTAACACACTCCTCGTGTGTAGTTAAAATGTACAATAGTTTTGATACAAGAAAGTAAATGTAAGTCAATAATTGATATTAACAGCGTAGTAATATTTAGTTCTTTTAAATTGAGGGGACAAAAACAGGTTAGAGATTTTAGTACTTCCGTACTTGTAGTACTTCCAAAGTGTGCTTGTCTGCGATGTTAGAGGCATTATGTGACATTTCGTTGTTTTACTAGCATATTTTGATTTATTTGTGAAAAGGGGGAACGCCTTGCTAGTATGAAAGTAAAAGTACCCATTTCAATAAATAATGATCTTGTCGTTATGTCTAGTGCTCTGTATTAAGATAAATACAATTATGAAAGATAGAGCTGATCAATTGGGGGTTGTTGTGTGTTTTTTTTTTTTTTCAGAATAAAATGAGGAAAATCCCTAATGGTGTTACTTTATCAAACCCTGTTTTGTGAATCTCTTGTTTTTGCGATTTTGTAATAGAACGTGCCTGAAACTGGCCTATTGTGGACGAGGAATGTTCATTTTGCATGGTTCTAAAAGGAAACAAGGATGTTTTCTAGACACGGGAAATGTCGTTATGGTCATACAGAGACAATGCAAAGCCTAAAATTACGTTACAGTTTGCCCTCGGTGTTGGCCATCTTGGATCACCCCTGACGCATGCGCAGTAAACGCGATATAATTACGGGTAGTATCCGACTGCCTCAGGAGGGTATTTTGAAAGCTACTTGGTAGCTAATGGGGGACGCCACACGAATGAACCGCGGCCAAACAAAAGACGTATCGAACGAGAGGAACTTATTTAATAACATATAGCTTTAAGGGTCCAGACCTGTGAATAGAGTGCCATAGACCCCAATGATAAATGGTCCCACTTCAGAAATTCGCTCACAACTCTCCAAGGTGTTCGAGACACACATTAAATTAAAGCTTACTACACCATCTTGCATTTTCCTTTAAATATAATGGGGTAATCTTGTGACTTTAAGCAGAAATTTCCATCCGAAGATATTCACCTCTTTAAAATAGTACTGAAGCCCATCGCCATTTTCAAAAATACGGCACCTACACGCCATTGCAAAATAGAGCGTTTTTAGGACCCTAATTTTCATCCAAATTTCACAGAAACACAACCTCACTGTTCTGTGTGCACGATTTCTATCCTTGTTTTTAACAAACGAACCATCCTGTTCATAGCCCTCAACATTCACAAATACTTAACAATTTGAGGACCGATTATTTTACTGGCCTGAAACCTGAAGAAGCGTGCTGAAGGTTAACCAATCACAACGCGGATTTTGCCTAGTCGCTTCCATCTTTAAAATAAGGGTGAGTAAGGAAAACGTAAGAGCAAATAACTGTAAGTTCAGATGAAAAATAAATTCATACCCAAAAATAATTTCTTGAAAAACCTTTATAAGTACAGTAAAAATAAGTTAATGTAAGAACAATTACTCGCATTTTTTGTTTTTAAATTTTGTGCAAGCATCCGGGCGCGTCGACGCGTCCGGGTAGTAGCCACGCAAGCACAAACAGGTTGATGATTGGTTGGAATTTTGCTACCCTTTTGGGGTCGCAAAAATCGAGATTATAAAGAAAAACATAAGAATTTCTCGACAAGTTGCAAAAGGCCCTCGTGGCTTTGCAACTCGCATGTGTGGTCTCCATCTCCAGTCGCTTCGCGTCTTCGCCGCTTTGAATGCGGGCAAGTTAAGCCACGATGGCCTTGGTGAAAGGCTAGGCGACCTCCAAAGCGCCGAACCGAATTTGGACTCCTTGGTTGTATTGCGCATGCCACGAAGTGAACAACATACACCAGGACTCTGACAGGTCATTTGTGAGGCTTAGCGTCCATATTGTAGGTGAAAGAGACCAGATTTCATGGGGGTCTTAATTTCATATGACACAAGTGCTCTATACCATGATATCAAGCCCTTTCTTGGCGGTTACCTATTTTGTTAATTGTCTTTGTTAAAGGGTTGCTAGTCGGAAGCTATACATGTGACATGCAGTCAGGAATCAAATAATCAAATAAATTGCAAAGAGAAGTTGACTGGATACGATTAGACAAATACACTGATCGAATTTGGAGCGTAGTATGAACCTTCGATTTCCATTTCATTTCAGCTTGCCGGGGAAACTATGACACATTTTAATATTAAAAGGGCACTTTAAAATATGTTGACCAATAAGGGATTTCTCAAAGTGTTTATACAAATATGGATTTTTCAACGCAGTATATTTACAGAAAAAAAGGTCATAGCCGCTTTAATACAAGACTATATAACTAACAATCAGATTATACAAGAGGAAGACAGTTTTCCTAACGCACAGGGGCAATATGGTCCGGAAAAACAAACTCACAAAAATGAATTATGGGAGATTCAATGATATAGCGACAAATGGTAGCGTAGGAATATTTTAAGAGCAATGATTAAATAACAACATGAAGTCATAAAACAAGGAATCGTTGAATCAAGATAAGTGAGTAAACTAAAGTTAAACGGTTAAGAGTGCTTTAAAATAAACGTCTAGTGAGATGCCATGAAGCATCTGGGTCATTCCATAACATAATGTGCAGTCCAAAAGTGTGACATTGGTTTGTGTCCATGTTACACCTGACCTGTGTAATTGACCATACATGTACTATTAAAATAGACTTTAATTTTTGTTTTATTTGTTTGGCAGGTCTTGTGCTTTACATAATCATTCTTGGAGATAACAGGCATTAAATAATGTGTCCCGAATTTACAGACATCTTATATCAGATATACCGGGACGCGGCAGGACAAATTGACCCCAAATATATGAAATGACCCCATAAGCTTTGTCACATTATAGGAATGGCTTTGTAAATTTACATAAAAAGATAACGTTCAACCCATTAATGTATTTGCAAAGGGATAATAATATTTTCAAGGAAACCACATAGAGAAAATAATTGTGCACTAAAACTAATTTAAGGTTGAACAAAGGAAATGACTGAGCGGGGTTTGAATCTTCACCCCCGGATTACCATTCCGGTACTCAACCAACTGAGTTATCCACTTTGTTACCTGCTCCCCATTTAGTCAATGTCTTTTGTTCAAGAACGCGAGTCAGAAGCCAAAAACCCGATATGCCATGTAGCCGGGGGATCACTCAGAGAGGATACGGCTTTCATATAACACATTTTCAAAGAAACCAAATAAGGAAACTGACTCGGTGTATTGTCATTGTTTTAAGGTTAAACATAGAAATTGACTGTAGCAGGGTTTGAGCCTGCGACATCCTGATTGCCGTTCCGTACACTCTACCAACTGAACTATTCAACCCTATGTCGTAGAGACAACTAAATGTGAAACGCCGGAACGGTAGACCGGAGGTCGCAGTTTCAAACCCCTCTCCCGTAAATGTCTTTCTTCAACCTTAATAGGGATAATAACATACTATACTTTTTACAATGTTCATACTTAAAGTGTACTCATTAAAATGCGTATAACATAACAGAATAACACAAGAAACAATTCGCTTAAAGCAGAAATGCAGTTACCTCAATATTTTGCAAAATTCGTCTTAGCAGCAGTACACCGTTTGGCATTCACAAATTTTGACCACTCAGTAATTTATGGATAAACTATTTTGCTTATTTACATACCATTTTTGTCTGTTCTCCAAACATTACTTTGTCTTCTATGGTTATGTTACGTTCCTCGGTAAACATGTATACAGCTAAATACATGCTACATCCACGAAATTTAGCTTTTAATTCAGCAATCAACCAACTGTGGCGAAACCGATCCTGAGACCATTTGTGGCAGAACCGGCGAGTGTTGGCGGGAACCCGAGGGGACTGGACTTATTTATCCCAAGACTCCAACCCACACCAAATATCACACAACGATATTTATTAGCCTAACAAACGGGTGAGCGTCTACCTATCCGAAAGGGAGGACAATAGGGGCTGTTCGTCTGGTGGATATTTACCACCGTCTTGTGATTGTGTAATTAATTGAATGGAATCAGAGTAAGACAAGTAGCGACAAAAGGCATCAAAGTGAACCCAGGTAACCCTCATGGCAGACCTAGGAAACCCTCAGTGAACCTAGTAACCCTCACAGTGGACCTAAGTAACCCTCACAGAGACTAGTGATTCCAAAGAAGATTATCGATAGGATTTACTCTAGAATCTATCACAGCTTAACAATAATTTACAATAATCTACAATTAATGCACAATTAACAACAATATACGAGACGATGAATTATGGACATATATCTTACATATAGACAATAAACCTCACTGGTGATATGAAGGGTCAACTGCATCCTTTGTTTGCAATTTTTGTAGTCCTTTTATTGATTAGTTCTAAGATTTTTTGACGATGGAAAACGTTAAGCTACATTAGGTAAGAAAAGGAATCCAAATATCACATCAAACTCAATTTTCTTTTTTTTTTTAAGAAAACAGTGCTCATAGATTACATTAATCGTAAATCAAGTTCCTAAGGTATTCTTATGGAAAAATCTTTGAAATTATCAGTGATTTATTTTTTTTTATTGTGAAATGTTGACATTAATTAATTTGGATCTATTTACATGCTCCTAAATACGAATATTTGTTCCTGTGAATACTTAAGTTCTTGACACCGATTATTCAGGGAAGAATGCTATGCAATCTTTAAAAACGTCATCACCTTCCAAGAATTCACTTGAACATTCAGGCACTAAAGTGATCTGTATCTACGGGCATCGACAAAATAGTCGTAGCTCCGGCTTACACCGACGCTCCCGCAATGATACCCGCCGAGCCTTCTATCGTGTCTGCTACTGTTCCACCGATTCTGAAATGCCACTTGCTTTCTTTTTCCCGAGTTTAGTGACGGTTGTCCCAACCTTCTTCAAGATTCCAGGTACCTTCTTCTTTTTATGGAGTTTTAATGGCGCCAGTCTTGTACTCAGTGTCTCTATGTTGCCAATGTCAATGTCTTTAAGATGTGTCATTATGTTTGTAATTTGTTCGAACTCTTCCAAGATTTTGTTTTGTATGTTTTCAGTTTTGTGAATGGCTGAAAGATGAAAACATTTAACAAAATGGAAGTATTTCAAGCTGTTGCTCAGGAATCCTAAAAACGTCTCAGCAGATGATCCATGCAACAGGTACAGTGTTTTCAATCTTCCCCACGAGTCCTCGCCATCCTTCTTCATTTCCTTCTGAACCTCATTAAACCCTTTATCGGTTACTTTGTACAGAGAAAGTCTGAGATCCGTCAATTGTTTGCACTCACATAGCGGTAAATTTGTTACCGCAACGAAGGCTCTGTCGTCGAACTGCTTATTCAGACGGAGATCCAGCTTTCTCAAGTTTGGGAGATGGTCAGCACTTTTCGCCAAGTCGCAAATAGCGTCTGAACTCAGAATCGTCCCAACCAGAACTAGACTCTCCAGCATTTCCAGACGAGGAAGGTAACGAGCCAAGTCTCTTGCTGCACCCGATAAGTAGCAGTCCCCTGCTTGTGACTCTAAGAGCTCATGTAGATCAAAAGACTGCACAGTGTGGAGGACACTGATGTCTGACTGGTCAGGAGGAAACTGGGGCATGTCTTGGTAGCAGGATTCTATCCTCTCACGCAGCTTTTTGGGTACAGCAAGGTCTTCATCTATAGACAAGTCTATAGATTGACCTTCATTACCATCATCCTCGCTTGGTGAGTCGCTTACCTTGGGCCCTGGTTGTGTAGAAGGCGATATATATTCACATTTGTTTTCCTCTATTACGGGATGTAAAAGTTGTTCATCAACCGCCCTTAGTTGAATTGCACTTGGCTGATGAATGTCAGCATCAGGTGATCGTCTCGTATCTGCAGATAGTTGGACGTTGCATTGGGATCGGTCGGTTTGTGGGGTTATGGTAACGGAAGAGTTTGCCATGTAGTTTTGTGGATCTGCGATTGTTGTTTGGTCAGATAAGGATTTCGGTTGCTTTTCTGCGTCTGGCAGAGGCTGATCAATGCTGGAATTGACCTCAACGGCATCGGTTGAAAGCTTCTCGATGTCTTTAAGTGGTGCTTCACCTCTTGCTTTTTTAGTTCCAGTTGTAAATGGCTGACTACCTTCAGTTTGGGGTTTCAAAGCTGTCTTCTTCTTCTTCTCCTCCCCCTTCTTCTTCTTCTCCCTCTGGGATTCCCCTTTCCCCAAATCAAAATATTCAATGTATTCTTGAAGCTCTGACCAATCGTATTGACCAATTCGTAACAACTCAAACGACTTCACATTCAACTTGCTCTTATCTTTCGGCTTAGCATGTTGTAGTAGGTACGACAACAGACGCAGTTTGTAACTCGAAATACCAATGAGGCGGACCTTCCCGTCAGAAAAGATCGATTTCAGCTTCTTATTCAAGGCGCCCTCACACTGCCCCTCGAAGTTCAGCTGGAGACACAACTCCACGAACTTCTGCAATTGCAACACAGCATGGAGGGGCCTGGCCTGACTTTTTCTCATGTTGACGATCTTGGCACAATAACCAACAAGAGCTTCCTTGTCAAACTGATCATTTTGGATGGCAAACTGGAATACATTTGGAAACCTCTGGATAATCTCACTGTAGCCAATCTTTGTGATGTCTTCGAACCATTGTTTCACTTTTCCTGTGGTCTGAGGCAAGAATACGCCGACGCAAAGCTGCTCAAGGATCTCCAAGACAAAACAAGCCCTTTCATCCTTACGTCTTGTCAGGGGAGTGAGTTCTGTTTCCTGGCGCATGGTTTCTTGTTCAGTCCCATTTTGTTGCTTTTGCTTCCGCTTACAACAAGGACACCCTGTCCGTATCTCCACTTCTGATACCTCAGAAGAAACTGCCTCGGTAATTTGTTCCGTAGATTCAACCATGGACTTAACCTGCAATGGACGAAGAAGTCCAACGTCTATTGCAACTTCTAAGGCGTGCTCTCCCTCCTCTGACGAACTCAAGAAGTCCTCTTTAGAGTAGTCCGCATAATTTGAACAACTGCTAACCAGTCTTGAATAGGCCACTCTACCAAGCTCTGCCACTATGTTCAGTTGGTTTTCCGTGAGCAGACTGTGTTGGTTTCCCTCAGTGACAGCAACTTCCAGACCTTTCTTCCTGTCGAACATGCACTTGACCAAATTGAAAAACAAATTTGCCACGGTCGGGTCGGGTTTGAAGGCATCTCCTGTTGTCCAGATTGACATCTGACAGAGAGCTGCCAAGACAGCTGGGAGACATGAAATATCTGGTTGAAGAATATCCTCTTCTAGATATCGATGAATATTCCGTTTCTTTTTTGATGTAGGTGTTTTGGGTACTTCTATCTTCTCAGGAAATGTGTCTGTGGCAGTGCTTTCCTGTGTTTCCGGAGCAGCTGACACTGTTGGAGACTCTTCTGCCTTGGGCAGATTCTGCCTAGTGTTTGTGTCAGCAGTCGAACCTGATTGTGGTTTAGCTTTACTCTTGGATGCCTTGTGTTCAGGGGTAGCTTGCTTCCTTTCTTCAGCAGTATCCAAAACTACATTGATGTATGCAATAGCATTACTGAGGGTAAAGCCGGTAATGGTGACATGGCGCATGTTATAGTTTTGTGACGCAGCTTTGGCCAGCTCTTCCCCTCTCGTGGTCAAAACTAACTGACAGCAAAGAAATTCATTGTCTGTCATTACCTTCATTACAGCGTAAATATCGTGCTGGTCATTACAGTCATCTACCAAAATTGTCAGTTTACTTTTGTCTCGTGTGTAGTGTGCATTAATGGATTTGGCAGAAATGTTTCCGTCTTTTGGAATCATGCATTCAACAACTACTTCACCGATGGTTTCAGCTTTAATAAGCAGCCGAGCTGGAACAAGAACAACCATCTGATCACTTTCCCATAGTGCACGTTCCCTTCCCATGGCCCAATCGTATATCAGTCTGTGCAAAAACGTAGTCTTACCACAACCCCGTCTACCTTGTATTATAGCATGCTTACTAGCCAATCCTGGAATACCATCATCAAAGATACCAGACTCTGAGTCTAATTGATACTTTACATTGCTACATCCGTGGGAGACATTGGCGAACATCTCTAAGGGTCTGTAGACTGTATCTATTGATGCGAAGCAATCGTCGTCCCGGTCAACCCACGGTGTAATAGGAATTCTGACAAATTTCCTGATCACAAACGCTTTGATCTTCTTGGCAAGCATCTTCAAATCCAACTCCGGGACAGACTCTGTCACACAATCAGAGGAACAATTGTTACATTTCAATTGAGTGTATATATGTTGGCTTGCAGGTTTCATTGATTTCTTCAGTACAATCATACAGTCAATTGTAATCAAAGCCGTTCTGGTATTTCGTCAAAGGTTTCATTTATAAACGTTTGAGGGTAGACGGGCTTTACGTCACTTTGTTATCAAAACTTGAGCAATGACCGTGTTCTCTGGTCTGTGTATATTTAATCTGGTTAGCAATTTCAGGTTAATCTGGTTAGCAATCTTGTTTGTACTGACTTTAACAAGCCGTATAGCACCAAATACTGTGCCCACCCTTGCTGATAATATAACCATGAAACAAAAGAAACATGTTCGTCGAAAAATCTTGACGGGGATGAACAATTCAAGAGGCATTCACTAACATTCGCTGACATTTCTTTTAACAATGCCTTTTTATGTGTTCCCCCTTTTCTTTTCCTACCTTGCTTATCCAGTGATTTGTAACCACGTTTCTCCTTGTCTTCTTTAGAATGGGAAGAACGTCGACGCCACTTCCAGATCAGGAAATAAACAACAATCACAAGAAGAACTATGACGAATAAATGCACGCAAACAGCGATGACGATGATATCGGACGATCGAAAACCACCGTTTGAATCTAATGCATACAAGGAATCAAATGAAAATAATACTATTAACGCTACAGCTTTACCCAAGACAACAATGTGCACTTTTTTCTGTATCAAACGATTGCTTCAATCTAAGGATGCACTCCCACAAACCTCTTTACACAATAATTTCCTTTACAATTGACAGAGATAAATAGCAGAATGGTTTGGCATCCCACAAAGGATTTAATAGCGTCATTCTGATAATCTTTCTCCATGGCACATCATTTCATTTTTCATCAAAGTTCTTTTTAGCAGATAATTTCTATCGATCTCCTTACAAAAAAGTGCAGTCACTTGTTTCTTTCAAAAGACAAAAGTGAACATATACTACATTGTATTGATAAATACATCCACGTTTAATAATTATGATAAGACCAGCAACTGACTAACATGGTAGTAAGATATGACGTCAAATTACGAGGTCTTGGAAGGCACAAACTTACCCTCTACCAACACATCCACGTACGACCGGATCAGATTATCATTCGCAGGGAAGACATGACACCAGTATCTGACATCATCATCTTGGGAACAATTATTGAAGAGCAGAGCGCCCTCCATTGATATGTCAAGGCAGTCCTTTCCAAGATCATACATCTTCTTGGGACCATCTGGTAGATTCAGTGTGCCGATCACAGTGGTAGTCTCTGTATCATTGGCGCCAAAGGACCAAAACAAAGTTGCCTTCGTTGTCAAGGAGATGTCTGAGAGAGCCGGACATTGAAGAGAAAATCTAGGTTTAATGGTCACGCTGTCACCTTCTTTAGCGCTACCTCCATCCAATGGAAAGCGATCCCCTATTGTAAGAAAGCACAATGAGAGCGGTTGGAATGATGCCTGCATATGAAACTTTGCAGATATGACAGTCAAAATGGTAGTTTACCTGAAACTAGAAATCTGAAAGCTCAGCTAAAACCTCTATCCTTGCACCTACCTATCACTTGGACTTCAACATCTATCTGGTTTTCATCTCCCACAGCACATTTGTACACTCCAGCATGGTCATCATAGACTGACTGAATCACCAAACCAAAGTCACTGGCGAGATCGAATTCAGGACTAGAATTGACACCAGTCGACAGGTTGTAACTGAGGACTTGTCGATCTGGGTTGTCGCGCTTACTCCACTTCACCTCACAAGCTGTGTCGCCAGGTGTCCAGCTCAGGCAAGGGAGTATCTGCTGTGAGTCAATTCGGAGGTAGAAAGATCTTTCTGATGCCTTCAGTGCATCACTAGCTGATTCCAAATCATCTACTTTAAAGACAGATTAAAATGTGGAGCAACTGTTTCAAATCGGTAAAGAAAATTTAGTTCGGAAAATGTTTCTTGTTTTGTTTATTTTATTTTATTTTGTTGTTGTTGCAAAATTAACTTCGTCAACGAAAAAAAAAACACTACGTCTTCCCTTCGATTAACATACCTTTGGCATTACCTGATATCTGGGCATCGATGTCACAATTTCTGAGAGTACCATCTGACTGAAACACGTGACACCAGAATCTATGTGTATCCTGTACGTCATTCAGGAAGTTGACTGTAAGTGAAGCGTCGCTACCAATGCTGTAATCGGCGCCATGTTGGATCTGCAAAGTAGTACCATCAGAGAAACGCGATCCAATGATCTGTGTATCTGTAGTGATGCCCTCTCCCGTTGACCAGTACACTACGTCTTGTGCCTGTGACGCGCACTCACATGGTAGCGTCTGTCTGCGACCTCGCTGGAAAGTAGCATTGGAAGATGCTTGACTACTGCCTCCTGGAAAGGTGTCGCCTGTATTATTCAAGTTGAAAAGTGGCTATTAATTCACCGTGTCTGTAGCGATTCCCATCTAATCGATGCATTGCACAAGTCTAATCCATGCATCCAAGCATGCATCACTCCTAACATGACCGCTTAAATGTTCGTATGTGAACTCGTGTTGTAGTCCAAATAAAGCTTGACTAGTTCCCAACATATCGGAGTCTATAACGTTCTTCATGGTGTCAGCAAGTACAGGATCCGTTTCTTAATACATCAGGGCTACTTTGGACAATATTGGAGAGTTTTGTGAAAAGAAAGAGACATGGGAAATGTACACTGATCGTCTCGGCGAATATTTCGCGGCGAACAAGATCTCCGACGCACCACGCAAAAGGGACATACTCAACTCTGTCGTTGGTTCACAAACATATAAGCTGATTAGCGATCTTCTTGCCCCTAAGAAACCAAACGAAGCTACATATCAAGAACTAGTGGACAGACTAGAGAAACATTTCCAACCCACAAAGTCTAGCATCATTGCTCACTTTCAATTCACCAGCCGCTGTCGGCGATCTCGTGAATCAATCGCCGAATATTTAGCAGCACTACGAGCACTGGCCAGTCACTGCAAGTTTAGCCAAAACCTTGATGAAATGCTGAGAGAACGACTTGTGTGTGGCTTGCAGGATGAACGCATCCAGAAATCCCTGCTTGCCCAACCAAAGGACAAACTTGACCTCAAGCGCACAGTGGAACTTGCACAATCAATGCAGCTCGCAGGTGATCAGGCAAAGATGTTGTCAGCCTCTTATAGCACAATGACTGAACCAAATACCTATGTCAATGCTTGGTCAAATAAACGGCAGACATCTGCATGCAGTAGTTCTACACAGCAGCAAAAGCCCAGAAAACCTTGTGGAAATCGTGAAACTTTTCACAAGAGGCGCGAATGCCGGGCCTATTGCAAGACTTGCCATAAATGTAACAACAAGAATCACTATGTTGATTACTGCAGAAGCAGCCGCCACGTCTACATAGTAGACCCCGATTCATACTCGGAGGAAGATGAACCTGCCGTGGATGAAGAAGAATTATTTTACGTTCCAGCCCTCGACAACACCAACTTGAACTTAAAACATGACATCCACGCTACGCTTGTGGTGAATAACACAAACGTTCCTGTCCAACTTGACACTGGTGCACGTTGTAACGTCCTGCCCATGAATGTTTACAACGTCATCGCACCACCTAAGTCCATTGATAATTCAAAGTCAACCAAGCTCATCGCTTATGGAGGAACCGAGCTCCACACAGTTAGACTAGCTACACTGCCATGTCGCATTGTCTCATCGCTGACTGACCACAATATTGACTTTCACATTGTTGACACACAAGTGAAAGCTATCCTCGGCTTAACCGATTGCCTCCGTCTAGGCCTGCTGTCTGTCAATAACTTAGTATACCATGTCTCCAATGACACTACATCGCCTCAAGTCTTCAAAGACTACGAAGACCAGTTTGACAGCTCGCTCGGGTCACTACCAGTCATCTACACCATGACCATAATAATAATAATAATAATAATAACTAGAGGTTCGCGTTTGTTGTTACAAACGCAGAGTGGTCGGGTAGACAACCATTTCATTATACAAATTGTCCAATTAAGTTATGAATATGTTTATGTCAGAAAAAAGGACCAAGAACTTCAACATTTCCAGTACCAATTGTTTTTTACGAAAAGAATGCGTCTTTTAAGGTATGATAAATTTCAGTAAACAGTTTGAGTACAAGTTATTTCCGGTTTGATGGCGTCATCAGTCAAAACGGGAAGGGAGGACACTTGATTATCATTAAGTAAAAATAACGCATCGAAATATGGAAATTAAATGTATGTAATAATAACAGCTAACTTCCAGTTTGATGACGTCACAGTATTTGGAAGCAAAAGGTCAATATTAAGTTTAACAGATGTCATTTTTTTTTTGGGGGGGGGCAAAAAACAAAGTCATGAGACAGGGATCAAATGATGGATTTAACTTTAAAAATAAAATGGTCATTGTTGAATTCTCCTTACAGTAACTTCCGGTCTGATGACGTCATGATTATGAAACCTTGCAAATTCATTTGTGGTTGCTCACGGGATATATAGGGGCAATTATATCATAAAAAATTGATTGAGGGTTTTAACGTTTTAAAAGATTAAACTGTTTTTCATGTGCCGCTGGAGGGCGCCCTTTCGTGGATGACGTCAAAATAATGTTTATGTGATTGGCATTCCTCACTCATGTCACTTAACTTCCGTAATGAATATTTGTCTGTACGAAAATGTTTCCGTTTTAGAGTTAGATTCAGTTTCTATTGCACTTCCGGTAACACCGGAAGTAAAGGTCAAGCAGTTTTGTGCTTGGGAATAAGAAATGTTGCTCAAGGCATAGTCAACAACCTCACGAAAAAACGAACACGATACCCTATTTAGTTCAAGAGATATAGGTCAAAGTATTTTGTCAAATAGTGCAATCAAATCGCTTGTAATTTGATACCTGATGACGTTATGATGACGTACCAACAGTTATAACATCTTCGTAACATGGCACAAGTTCACAGTAGGTTTTATGATCATACCGTAAACCGTTTGGAAGAAATTGTGCTTTGTTTCGATTTCAGGCTAATGTCTTCATTTTGAATTCACCTAAATTTGACCTTCCGGTAGACCCGGAAGTAAAGGTCAAGCGAGTTCACCTACACAACAAAAAATGTTTATCAATTTATGGTTTATCTGATTACAAGGTTGGAGCATAATTGATCAATTTGTTGAAGAGTTATAGATGATAGAAGATCTTCATTTTTTCAACGGAAATCGCTTGTAATTTGACACCCGATGACGTCATAGTGACGTCAGTGTAATATGCACCACTCGAAATGAGGGTCAATGTATGTTAAAAGTTACAAGTTCATATCATATACCGTTTAGGAGAAAACCCGCGGAAACGTGCTATGCAGAAAAAAAGGAAAGAAAGAAAGAAAGAAAGAAAGATTAATCGCAACAAATCGGGTTGTGCCCGACCACTCAATAAACAGTTCTTATATAGCGCATAATACAATTAAGTCTCTATGCGCTTGTGCGAGTGAACAGGTGAGTTTTAACAAGTTGTTTGAACTGATCAAAGGTGGGACAGGTTGTGATATGGTTAGGGAGATCATTCCATGGTTTGGGAGCAGTGAATTGAAAGGCACGTTGACCGTATATTTGGTGGTAACTGGATAAGAAATGAGAAGATCTTTGGAACTAGAGCGGAGGGTTCTTGGTGGTTGATATTTGTTGATTAATTCTTGGAGGTAAATTGGGGCTAATCCGTGTATGCATTTGTAAATCAGAACCAGTAATTTGAAAGTTATGCGGGATTTCACTGGTAACCAATGCAGGTCATGCAGAACTGATGAAATGGGTTCATGCAAGCGTGTTTTGGTGACAAGACCCGCCGCAGAGTTCAGTATCCATTGGAGTTTATTAAGTTGGGAATCTGGCAATCAGTAAAGAAGACTGATGCAGTTGTCGATGCGACTAATCACAAATGCATGTGCAAGGGGTATGGTTTGTAAATCTTTGTTGCCAGCTGAATGAGAAAACAAAGAGCAGGGCGGTTGGTAAGATGGGTGGGTACAGCACTTTTAATTCTCCTATCCTAATCAACAATTGTTCGGTATATATCGGTATCTTACAAATAACTCTAAAATGGAAAACTAAACCTCGAAAGAAAAGTAAATTCAAGATAGGAATCATAATGATTAAATACTTAACTAAACTAAATGAAAGAGAATAAGATAGAATTAGATAAAATACAATTAAAAGTAGGCCTTGTTGAACTTCACTTTCAGTCCCAGTATTAAAAGTAATCCAGTCTGTCACCAGACTTTAGCCGGACCTAGTCAAGTCTAATCTAAAATGGAGACTGTTCTACAAAAGATTTCCCAAAAAACAACCTTTTTGAACCATTCTCTAATGCTAGTCTTAACTGGTCTCCCAATTCAAACACTTGATGTAAAAGGCAACATAAGATTATAATAAAACGCAAGAAAAAAATATATCAACCTCCCCAATTAACCACAGAGTCAGTGCCTAGCTTGGCACTTGCCTCAAATATGAGGAAACAAATGGACAGTGGCTAATTGGCCACAGTCAGCAACACACTGGCCAGGCTATCCTGGCTGCTAGCTAGGCTATCCTTGTGGTCAAACCCCTAAGGCAAAACAGATAACGACTCTAACAGATGGCTCTGAAATGTCCCCCTGTGACTGGGCCATGTGCTAGTGGTCTCAACTTTAGACACAGGCCGGGGTGGGAAAGCAACTTTTCTGCCTAAAATAACTAAGCTTTAAAAAAGTCAGTTATTCTACTAAAGCCATAAGAAAGTAATCTATACATTATAAACTTCCTGGAAATACAATTAACTAAGCAAATTTAAATCTGCAAAGTTTACATACAAAAAATAAAGGAAAATGTCTTACCTGAAAGGAGAAAACAAAGAGCAGGGTGGTGGTAAGATGGGTGGTACAGCACTAAAGCATGCCTAACCACACCACCCTGACCAACCCAATCTCCTGCTCAAGGGTCGCTCCACTTTTAGAAAGAGGGGTCCAACTGGTAGTATAAACAATAGTCTTACATGTATGATATTAAACCAATAAACACTTTAAAGTAGAAAGAAAGCAAAAACGATGGGGGTGTCTCAATCCAAAAAGGGGGGGGGGAAGAAAGATAAAATAATCGCTGAAAGGGGCACCCTTTTACACCCTCCAACGCTAATCGATTGGCGTCCCTGCCAATATCTGAATGACATAACAGAATTTAAAAAAAAACTACTCCTATCTATTAATGGACTCAGTACGTCAGACGTTAAGGGCGCTTCCCACCGGTACTTAGACTGGAGCAACGCCTTGCCACTGGCTTTGGAACGGAGGAATCTGGTCTTGGTGGGATGACTTGTCCTGGAACTTTAGGCTCAGATGGTTGAACACCAAGATCTTCAGAGGGATGATTATGTACATCAGCAGCCACAGCTTCTATGGGTGGTGAAGGAAGTCTCCTCCGGGGACTCTGGGGTTGGCGTTCTCGCTCTTCGACTGTTGCTGCCCGTGGTGGTGTAGGAAGTTTCCTGCGAGCCTGAGGCAGAGGGACAGGTTGAGTAACAAGCCAACCACTTGTGCGGAAACCGGAGCTCCAGGATCCAGAGTACTGGTACTTGGCGAACTTGGTGCATCTGGGATGGGATCTTGGTCATCTGAAGGAGAATTTGTTGGCTGTTGGACTTCCCTTAACCGACAAACAGATAGGGCATTTCGATGGAGAACCTTGTGCTTCTTTGTGTGCTCCTACTGGACCTCATAGACAGGAATATCTGGATGAGGCTGCTTGACAACAACATAGGGAACAGACTCCCATCTGTCACTCGTCTTGCACCGCCCTCTCAGATCTCTGTTGCGCACAAGGACACGCTCTCCGGGGAGAAGGGGAATATTTCTTGCTTTCTTATTATATGCTCTCTTCTGGCCGTCCGTGGCTGCTTTGAGAGATTTCTTGGCCATTTCGTGGGCTGTCACCAGACGACGGTGGTGTTCGGCGACCCAGGCATTGGATCTGCTTTCCCCTGGTTGGTCTGGAAGGCCCATCGTCAGATCCACTGGGAGCCTACCATGGCGGGAATACATCAGGTAGTGGGGAGTGTACCCAGTGGAGGAGTGGACTGCGTTGTTGTAGTAGAAGCAGAGTTCAGGAAGATGCTCAGCCCACCGTTGCTTCTTCTCCTACTCCATGGTTCCGATGAGGTCGAGTAGGGTACGGTTGAACCGCTCACAGAGGCCATTTCCTGCTGGGTGATATGGGGTCGTCCGACTCTTGGTCATGCCGTATAACTTACACAACTCCTGTATGGTGGCAGACTCAAAATTGGCCCCTCTGTCGGAATGGATCCGCCCTGGCACTCCATGGTAGAGGATGAACTTTGACCACAGTGCCCTCGCTGTGGTCACTGCAGTCTGGTCTCTGGTAGGGACAGCCACAGCAGTCTTTGTAAAGTGGTCGGTAATAACAAGGACATACTCATAGCCTCCCGACTACTTTTCCAGGGTGAGGTAGTCCATCGCCACTAACTCTAAGGGGGCCGTTGTTTTGATGGATACCAGTGGGGCTTTGACTTTTGTTGCTTGTTTCCTGAGGGAGCATCTTCTGTAGCTCTCACACCACTCCCGGACCGTGGCTGACATATTTGGCCAGAAGAAACGAAAGCGAAATGCTTCCTGCGTCTTCTCTGCTCCCATGTGACTCGCCTTGTCATGAAGTTCCGTCAAGACGTTCTCCTGGAGACACTTGGGCAACACCACCTGTCCTCACTCCTCCAGCTGCTTTGGGTCTCTAATGACTCGGTATAGGGTGTTGTCGATGAGCTGAAGTTTCTTCTACTCTCCAAGAAGAAGTCTTGTCTTCAGACTGAGCTCGCTCCGCTCTGAGGTACTTGGGCACCTGTCTTCCTTTTTCAGCCGCCACACAACACCAATGTCCGGGTCCTCTTGTTGAAGCGTGGACATATCAACAGAACTAATTCCAGGAACTGTCTAGGTAGAACCAACAAGCACACAAGACTCATCGGGGGCTCCCTCCTCAAAATCCTCACAGCATGCCTTCACAACTGCAACAGTAGCCTCGCCTTCGTCAGACTCCTCAACCTCGTCGGGTGCAGTGGACCTTTGAAGCCTAGAAAGGGCATCGGCGTTGTCATTTTTCTTTCCGGGCCGATACTTATTATCGAAAGTAAAACTGGACAACTGCGCCATCCAGCGCTGCTCGACTGCTCGCAGGTTCGCTGAGCTCAGGTGGACCAAGGGGTTGTGATCAGTGTACACAGTGAATCGGCCACCCATCAAATACTCCCGAAACTTCTCGGTGATGGCCCACTTCAGTGCAAGTAACTCTAATTTGAACGCATGTAGTAGGCGTCATTCCTTTCTGCCTTCCGAAGGCTACGGCTGGCATACGCTATCACTTTCTCAGTGCCATCTTGAACCTGAGACAGAACAGCCCAAAGACCTAGGTTGCTCGCATCGGTGTACAGGAGGAATGGCCGAGAGTAGTCGGGGTAGGCAAGAATGGTTGGGACATCAGGTTCTGACGGAGATGGTCGAAAGCCTCCTGGCATTCCGGGGTCCAGACAAAAGGGAAATCTCTCTTTGTCTTCCTGGTATCCTTCTTGGGATGTGATGTCAAAGCAAACAAGGGCTTGGCTATCTTTGAGAAATCTTTCACGAACCTCCTGTAGTACCCGGCAAAACCAAGAAACTGTCGCACTGCTTTGGCAGAGGTTGGGATGGGCCATCTCTCCAACGCTGAACATTTGTCCGGGTACGTACAGATGCCGTCTTCTGAGGCTACGTGCCCCAGGAAATTGATGGACCTCTTGAGCAGATGACACTTGGAGGGCTTTGCCTTCAGACCATGTTTTGCAAGCCGGGAAAATACCATATCCAACCTTTCCAGATGGGATGCGAAGTCGGCAGAGAAGACAATGATGTCATCAAGGTAAAACATGAACGTCTCGCATGACTGGGCTCAAAAACACCGCTCCATGAATCTCTGGAAAGTTGCCGGCGCATTGCTTAGACCAAAAGGCATCCGGTTGAACTCATACAATTCCATGGGAGTTGTGAAAGCGGTCTTAGCTCTGTCATCTGGATCCATGGTGATCTGCCAGTAGCCGCTCACAAGGTCAATGGTGGAAAAATATCTGGAGCCATGTAGGGCATCAAGGGACTCGTCGATTCTCGGCAATGGATATGCGTCAGGTGTGGTGACTGCATTGAGGCGTCAGTAGTCAACACACAAACGTAGACCTCCACACTTCTTCCTCACCAGCACAATGGGGGAGCCCAAGGGATGGTACTCTCCCGAATGACACCTTTGCCTAAAAGGGTCTTCAGGTGGTTTTTCACTTCCTGGTACAGATGCAGGGGGACTCTTCGGTACCTCTCTTTATGGGGCCCGGTCGTACCCGTGGGGATATTATGCTGGACGGTAGTCGTCATACCAAAATCATCGTCGTGTGTAGAGAATACACCTTTATGACGTCGCAACAGGGAGCAGAGTTCCTGTGCCTCCTCAGGGGACAGGGACTCTCTGTCTACATTTACATGGACTGGTAGCACCTCAGGGGGCTCTGGGGGGTCTGCAACTGTATCCTCACCAAAACGTACTTCAACCTCGTGAAGTCCCAGCTCGACGAGTTTCAAGTGATCAGGGGATGGCTCATCTTGAAGGACCTCGTCTACACTACTAACTTGGGACAACTTCATGCCACGGTGTATCTTGATGTCCCAGTTGTTTGGATTTGCTAAGCGAACTGGTACTAGACCATCTTGAACCATGCATACCGTCCGGGCAACCATGAGATGCTTCGGTAGAAACCTTGCTGATGACGGTTCTACAAGAACAGCACTCTCCTTGGCATATGACTGGTGACACCGTCCGGGGATCACCATCTCTGTCCCCGCTGGAACCACAATGGGGCGAAGATTGGCTGCTCGTACGATACTTGGTGGGGTCTGGACTCTAGATAAGGGGGACTGGGGTCCTTGAAAAAGAGGTGCTTGCACTTCTGGAGAATATTCATGCCTATGATACTGGGGGTAGATTGGGCCACTGATGGTGTCCCCATCAGACTGATGTCCAGCTCAACGACACCTTGGTAGGGGGTATTGAGGCCATTTGCAGCAACAAGACGGACAAAGGGGTTAGTCAAGTCGCTCGTATCGACGTTGCCATGGAAACACTTTCGAAACACCGCATCTGACAGGGTCGAAACCTGTGGTCCTGTGTCCAACAGGCTGGGGACACTTACTCCTTCCATGACAACATCGATATACACACAGTCTCCAACTGCCTCTGCTGATGAAATGGACCTCAGTTGTGTCCTAGGACGTTCCAATGTCTGGCCCTCGACACTGGAACATCCTGGTTTAACTGTGCTGGTGGCTTGGGGGGACCCTGGTAGTGGCTCTGATTCTGTGGGGGTCGTCGTTGGGGACAATCTCTTGCCATGTGGCCAGACCGATCACAGATGAAGCAGATTGGACTCCCTTGTTCATCCCATCGCGGTTGACGTCGGGGTCTTCGGTTCTGGGATGCAGAGGCTGAACGTAACTGGGTCAACTCTAGCTTCATGTCTGCCATCTTTTCGGACATCTCCCTCTGCTGCTTCACTGTTTCCTCCGGGGCAGTCTGAAGGGTGCGGAGGGATGGGGACTGGGCGGACACGGCGCTGGATGCGTTCACTCCAGCTGAACTGTCTTTTTGGGTATCAGCGCGGTCTGCTGACAGATGGAGAGCCTCCCTGGTGACTTCCCTGAAGGAGATGTCTGGTGTCCGACGGATCTCCATCCGTAAAATACGCTGGACATCTCGGTTTGCCAGGCCAGCAACTAGCCTGTCCCTCAGCAACAGGTCAGGTCTGATGAGTGCCTCGGGGTCCCGCTGCTTTAGCCTTCCCAGTATCTCCTGCAGTGCCAGAGAAAACTCCCTGATGGTCTCTGTCGACTTCTGCCTCCTGCTGTGAAACATTTGCAGAAGCGTGGCAGCTGGCACCTTGTCTTCGTAGGTCTCATGTAGTCGGGCGAAGATGTCATTTGCCTGCTGTCGCTCCTCCTCTGGCATGACCAGCACCTCACGCTTAGCCTCCCCTCCCAAGTACTTGATGAGTACTTGGGACTGCTGGTGCGGTGGAGTGTTCCATGTCTGTAGGAGCGCCCTCATGTCAGCGATCCACTCTCCGACCGTCGGGTCATTGATGCTTTGCTACGTGCCCGAAAACATACTGACCTTCAGGTCAATGGGCACAAAGCTTATGTGGTGAGCTGCAGGTGCCTGTGCAGCTTCACCGTTGCCAACCGCGTTTCCTCCTTCCATGGCTGTAGCTGGCAATCCCACTTCTGACACTTTTAATTCTCCTATCCTATTCAACAATTGTTCGGTATATATCGGTATCTTACAAATAACTCAAACACTTGATGTAAAAGGCAACATAAGATTATAATAAAACGCAAGAAAAACGACATCACACCCCCCCCCCAATTAACCACAAAGTCAGTGCCTAGCCTGGCACTTGCCTCAAATATGAAGAAACAAATGGACAGTGGCTAATTGGCCACAGTCAGCAACAAACAGTCCAGGCTATCCTGGCTGCTAGCTAGCCTATCCTTGTGGTCAAACCCCTAAGGCAAAACAGATAACGACTCTAATAGATGGCTCTGAAATGTCCCCCTGTGACTGGGTCATGTGCTAGTGGTCTCAACTTTAGACACAGGCCGGGGTGGGAAAGCAACTTTTCTGCCTAAAATAACAAAGCTTTAAAAAAGTCAGTTATTCTACTAAAGCCATAAGAAAGTAATCTATACATTATAAACTTCCTGGAAAAACAATTAACTAAGCAAATTTAAACAAGGTTCAACTGAAAATCAAGTAGAAAGATCCTCACTCCAGACCAGAACATGGCCGATTTTGGCCCAGAGTGACCACTTGTTATACTCACTGAAAAGTTACAACAATGCAGAAAAACAAAACAGCAAAAATAAGCAAAAACACTATCTTTCCCAACTCCCAAAGAATGAGAATTTGTAAGAAGTGAACTTAGTAATCTTAAGTTTCACAAAAGTCAATCAATCTGCAAAGTTTACATAAAAAAAAAATAAAGGAAAATGTCTTACCTGAAAGGAGAAAACAAAGAGCCGGGCGGTTGGTAAGATGGGTGGTACAGCACTTTTAATTCTCCTATCCTAATCAACAATTGTTCGGTATATATCGGTATCTTACAAATAACTCTAAAATGGAAAACTAAACCTCGAAAGAAAAGTAAATTCAAGATAGGAATCATAATGATTAAATACTTAACTAAACTAAATGAAAGAGAATAAGATAGAATTAGAAAAAATACAATGAAAAGTAGGCCTAGTTGAACTTCACTTTCAGTCCCAGTATTAAAAGTAATCCAGTCTGTCACCAGACTTCAGCCAGACATAGTCAAGTCTAATCTAAGATGGAGACTGTTCTACAAAAGATTTCAAAAAAAAACAACCTTTTTGAACCATTCTCTAATTCTAGTCTTAACTGGTCTCCCAATTCAAACACTTGATGTAAAAGGCAACATAAGATTATAATAAAACACAAGAAAAAATATATCAACCTCCCCAACAACAAAGTCAGTGCCTAGCCTGGCACTTGCCTCAAATATGAAGAAACAAATGGACAGTGGCTAATTGGCCACAGTCAGCAACATACTGGCCAGGCTATCCTGGCTGCTAGCTAGCCTATCCTTAAGCACTAAAGCATGCCTAACCACACCACCCTGACCAACCCAACCTCCTGCTCAAGGGTCGCTCCACTTTCAGAAAGAGGGGTCCAACTGGTAGTATAAACAATAGTCTTACATGTATGAGATTAAACCATTAAACACTTTAAAGTAGAAAGAAAGCAAAAATGATGGGGGTGTCTCAATCCAAAAAGGGGGGGGGGAAGAAAGATAAAATAATCGCTTAAAGGGGCACCCTTTTACACATGGATCAGCCTTTCTGTTGTTGACTGATCCCCCCCAAAATTTCCGATTTTATGTTAGCCAAAGGAAGAAACACGACATATATTACTGTTGTGCTTTTCCATAGTTGGGTGTTCATCGATGATTACGCCAAGATTCCGTGCACTTTGAACTGGTTGAAGAGAAGAATTGTCGATGGTGATGGGTGGAATTGGTTTTTGTCTCTATAACGGGAGGACATGTGGAGTACCTCAGTCTTTTCCTCGTTCAGTTTCATACCATTTATGGAAGAACACGCTTTGATGTCATTCAAGCAGGCTTCAAGATTTGGAATGGCCTCAGTCTGATCAGTATGTTCTATAATCGTATATAACTGGTTGTCATCTGCGTACATTGTGTAGCTAATGCCGTATGACTCGATCACATCTTCTAGTGGTGAAGAGTATAAGTTGAACACAGTGGGCCCAATTACTGAACCCTGGGGGACACCTCGTTGCACGGGATAATTGCTAGAAATCTGATCTCTGATGACGACTGATTGACTTCGGTTGATGAAATAGGTCCGAAACCAGTTGAGTGCTTGGTCACGGAAGCCAAATCTCTGCTCTAGTCGTTTGAATAAGATGTCATGGCTTATCGTGTCAAAAGCCGCCGATTAGTCCAAAAGTAACAAGACTGCTTCTAGGCCGCTATCCAGTGCAAGAAACAGATCGTTGCAAGCACGAAGTAAGGCCATTTCACAGCTGTGATTTTTTCGATAGGCTAACTGCATTGTTGCATTCAAGTCATTTGCAGACAGGTAGTGCTGAATTTGACAGACGTCTGCACGCTCAACCGTTTTGGACAAGAACTTCAAGTTGGCCACAGGACGGTAATTCTTAAAGTTCTCGCAGTCCAAGGAGGAATTTTTCAGAAGCGGTGTTATATGTGCACGTTTTAGGCTGTCAGGGAAGTTTCCATCTATAAAGGATTTGTTGATTATGCAAGCGATGATTGGTGCAAGTTCATTTGCACATCGTTTCAGAAAACTTGTAGGGATAGGATCGAGGCCGCAGCTAGATGTCGGGGAATCGGCTATTAGTCTCTTGACTTGTTGTGCAGACAATGGCTCAAAACGATTGAATACAGTGTCACAAGTACGGAACTGGATGTGTGAAGTGTCATCGGTAGTTTTCTGAAGCTCACTTGCTATCCGCTCAATTTTCTCCGTAAAGAAAAGAGAGAAACGTTCTGTTAAGTTTCCCTGAGAACTATCTGCAGATGGGGTGACTTTCAGGGATGTCACTTTACACATTGTGTCAATTTTATGAAAGAGTTCACGTGAGTTACAGTTTACAAGTTGTTTAGTGTGGTACTCTTTCCTAGCTTTAAAAATCATCTGATTATAGCAATGAAACTCTACTCTGAAAATCTGGCGATCGACCTCGAGTTTTGATGATCTCCAACGACGTTCCAAGCGCCTGAGACTTTGCCTAGTTCATTGTTATACCAAGGTGCAGAGGTTACAGAGGTATACCATCACCCTCGTGCATAAGAAAGGACAAGAATTGTTCCTTGCCGACACTTTGTCACGGCACCCTTGACAACGACCGGTACTGAAAATGATGACCTGGAAGTCTTGACCCTCCTGCCAATCTTTGACATGCAAATTGAACAGCTCAAGAAAGCAACTGCCTTTGACTCCGCCATGCAACAGCTCCCTGATGTCATTAGTCGCAGATGGCCTTCGCATATCAACAATGCCCCTTCAAAGGCCCATCCCTACTTCGCGTTCAAAGATGAACTGATTCTCGACCGAATACTGCATGAAGGTTACCCAGGCATCGAGGCTACCAAACGCAGAGCCAGAGATGTAGTTTACTGGCCATGAATGTGCCAAGATATCGAGAAGTCCGTCTCTGGATGCACAGTTTGCAACGCTACCAAAGCTCATCAACAGAAAGAACCACTGAAAAGCTACCCCACACCCAGTCTCCCATGGGAACACATTGGAGTTGACCTATTGCATTGGAACGGTATGGATTACCTAGCCCCTAGCCCTTGGTGACTCATACTCCGGTTGGTTTGGCTTCGCTTCACTCCACAACACCTGTGCCTTTACATTCATTGAGGTACTCAAGAGACAATTTTCCACCCATTGAATCCCCCGCATCGTTATCAGTGACAACGGGCGACAATTTGATTGCTTCGCCTTCAAACAATTCACACAGTCGTGGGGCTTCCAACATACAACCAGCCGTCCCCATTTCCCACAGTCCAATGACCTTGCAGAAAGCTCTGTCAAGCGCGCCAAAACAACTCCTCGAGAAGACCACACGCGACGGTTCAGACCTCTACCGAAACCTGCTAAACATTTGCAATGTCCCAACCAACCCCCAGCTTGGCTCACCTTACCAACGTCTCATGTCACGGCGTCTTCGCACAACCATCCCTACCCCGACGCCACTCCTTAAACCCGCCATTTACACACGCGTCATAGCGCAGTTACGCAAGAGGCATCAGCAACAGAAGTCTTCATACGACAAATCTGCCAAGCCCCTCCGACCACTGAAACCAGGGCAAGTTGTCCCTCTACAATCAACCAAAGGGCACAATCAGCTTGGAATTGTCCAAAAGCATTCCAGCAACCCTAAATAATACATCGTCAATAACCAAGGCACACTCTATCGCCGCAATCGGAGACACTTATTGCCAGTCCCTGAACCACCTCCACAGCAACAACACTCACCTGACTTCTACTTACCGCCACAAGATCCACTGCCTCAGCCTTCCATCCCCCATGCACCTCCACCGCAGCCAGTTCTCGTCGCATCTCGAAGCCAAATCCTAAATACACTGAACAGTTTTGTGTAACTGTTACAGCTTTGCCCGCACTGGATTTGTGTTGTTGATCCAAATTTTATGCTGATAACTTTGGACTGTCCCTGACTACAGGACTGTTAGTAACTACATTTGCCTACTCAACATGTGTTATGTGTTGTACACTCCAAAGATGAGGGCAGAATAATCCTTTGTACACACATCGAGTACTGAGACTCAGGTATTTAAGTTTTTTTTTTTTTACTACATTATTGGTTAAACCGTCTGTTTGTTTCTCAGAGGAAAGGATAGTAATTGTTCATCTTGGTACATTTACATAACCAGTGCGTTTTTAAATATTCATTAAGTGTTTTCAAATCAGTGAAACACTCAGACTCTAAATTACTAGACTCCAGTTTACAAATTC